CAACAATGAATATTCTTTAGGCCGCTGCAATCACTGATAAGGATGGCATCGATGCGGCTTAATGAGCCCCAAATATTAACTTTTTTCCTCCGATAAATTAAATTCCAAAACATTTTTTTTAAGTATTAGAAAAATAAAGAAGAGGTTTGAAGTAGCCTATATGTAGGTAAAAATATTTCCTATTAGTGTAAATAGGTATTAAAATGAGTAAAAGGCACCATTCTGTCCGGACCAGTAACGTCTTATGTAAACCATGCACGCGCCATTGAGTCAAGATGTATATATTATATTAGGGCACGTGATTGTTGGCGAGATTGTAGGTTAGGGTTAGGGTAAGCGTTATGGCTAGGTCCAGGGTTAGGGTAAGCGCTAGCCCTGAACTTGAAGTTGGCCTTATCAAATATATCTAATCCCAGCCTACTGAGAGTTTATTCAAATATCAAAGAACGCTTTTTGTTTTGATTTTAGTCCACTTGATACAAACCTAAGGGAAAATGAAATGAAATTTACAAACTGGACGAGTGGTCAACGCCTTTCATAATTATAAGAGGTGTAATTTGCTCCTACCCCAGGCAATCTTTAAATATTGTTTGGCCTATGGGCAATCTTAAACTACCATTATTTCAATATGTCAAGAGGAAGGGAAACTACTCATGGGCCATTATAATTAACTTGTATTGACATTTGCCAGTAATTTGATATTTATCGGAAAATCGTTTTTTCGGACAAAACATCAGCAGTGTGCCTAGATAATACACCGGTCAGTTGTTCGTGGTGGACCATGTTATGGCGATATCCTTTCACACGAGACATCACGTGGCACGTGTCGCTTCTGATTAACTGATTGTTATATTTTATTGAAATTATTATAGAATTTGATATAGATAGACATATTGAAATGACGTGGTTGTGTTTATGGTTGTTGTTGATGGTGTTTGAGGTTTTTTTCTATTATTATTTTGCTGTTGTTTGTTCTAAATACACTGGTTACATTTTGACCGGTCCTACTATTCACCGACAAGAGTGTTTCTTTTGTCAGTTTGTCATTGAGTCAACTAGCGGGGCGGGGTTTCCATTCCCCGCTTGTGCGTGACAAGGAGTAGGGTCGCCTGTCCAACCTCGTGGGTTTTCTCCGGATACATGTGTTAGTCCCGAAATGACCTAGTTTGTGTCGAGTAGACGTTAAACCCCACCTCTCTCTCTCTCTCTCTCTCTCTTTTGCTCTTTTGTCAGTTGAAATTTGAAAAAAGCGGTCTTACTAATCGCTGTTTAAAATACAGATCTATATATTTCGTTTCCTTTTTTTATACTTTCGATGGCCTACAGCACATGAAGATCTGACCAGTTGTACTGGAAGGTCACGTCAGGACTCGATCTATATGAAGAATTCTGGAGATTGGTCATTTTCACACAACAAATTCGTACATATATTATCCAAATTGGCTCGAAAGGCCAACTGTAATGTAAGTGCTGAGAAAATGGACTTCTCAAATATGGAGCTCGTGACACGAGGTCGCGTACTGTGACTTATTCTGTTATGACCAGGGTGTGGGACCCTCGGGGGTTTCAAATGAAACCAGGTCTTTATATGGGCGTCGGTGTGACTATGTTTATTAGTGTTTATAGCAATTATCGCCCCTGTCCATCTCCAAGTTCATTATAAGCTTAAATGTCAAACATTTGCTATCACATATTCACAATTCCAGGTTGGAGACAATCTCTAATTTTCTCAATTTAATCTTTAATTTGGAGTCTTATGAATAAATGATAAATCCATTTAATCATTTCAGGAATTTATACAAACTAATTATTTGGACAAATAATTATAAATTTCTCCAAATTCATATGATTGTTTTGAAATTATGTTCTATTATACACATTCTGTCTGATTTTATATTATTTGAGTGTATAAATTCAATGTTTATCAACGAAAAGTAAAGAAAAGTAAAGATATTTTTTCACCGTGAACCACGCAATAATACAATCTCATTAAAATACAGAATAATATTTCGTTCCGGTTTTTTTTATATATATACTTTCGATGGCCACCTCTACATAAAGCGTACTAAAGAGAAGTAAAATGAAATTTTGAACTAAAAAAAACGAAACGAAATAGGATTTGTGGTATAATCAGATTGGCAATAATACAAATACCTATCTATTCTATGACTGTTTTTACATGTACGTACATTTGTATGTTAATAATCCCGAAACTTTCAAAATTCCACTGCATCATGTCCAAAATGAATCTAACTAAAACGTACAACCATGTATGGAAATTTACTTTTTACGTTTGTTCATGGTTATCCAGACAACGCGATCTGTTGAGAACGTCAAAAATAATTTCAAATTTCAGAAAATTTTATCCTAAATAAATTTGATCCTTATTTAAATAATTTGTAGTCATGTTTATACAGGTAACGCACTCTATTTTGAGAATATCAAAATTATTTCAAATTTCAAAAAAGTCTTTGTAGTCATGTTTATCCAGGTAGAGTGCTCTAGTTTGAGAACATCAAAAATTATTTGAAATTTCAGAAAATTTTATACTATAAAATTGTGATTCTTTTTAAATAATGTGTAGTCGTGTTTATCCACGTAACCCGCTCTGAGAACATCAGAGATCATTCAAAAAAACAAAATTAATGCTTCTTTTCAAATAATGTGTAGTCATGTTTATCCAGGTAAAACATTCTATTTTAGGAACATGAGAAATTATTTCAAATTTCAGAAAATTTTATACGAAAAACAAATTTGATTCTTTTTAAATAATGTGTAGTCATGTTTATCCAGGTAAAGCGTTCTATTTTGAGAATATCAAAATTATGTCAAATTTCAGTTAATTGTATCCCCCCAAAATTCGATTCTTTTGAAAAAATATTATGTAGTCTTTTGTTTTCAAGATTTTGTAGACAGATTTTCACTATTTCCACTTGAAAACACATGTTCCAAAAGCTAGAAATTAATGTACTTAAAACCGGTCGATTGTTACCTTATAACAAAGCAGTCGTTGAAATCATATTAAAGTAATCAAATAGATTACTATCAAATTATAATAATATTTCATTTTTTACCTATCAATTATGGTGTGAAGGAAATTGTGTAGAAAAAATATAATTTTACTTGTAATACATGCATAAATTACAGCAGGTATTGTTTTCGCACAAATGCCCATATGTCACAGTTTTTACACGTGAGCAGAACTGGTACAAAAATCAATAAACTTTTTAAGAAAAGTGAATCAGTTTTTTTGTGTTTTAACAAATATGACACTTAAATTCTACTTTACACTTAATGTTTTCAAGAGGGTAGTAATATATAAGACTACATCGAACCCTTTACGTTATTAAAAAAATACGTGGTTTGTTTTTTTTGTCACTCATCCAAGTTTGCTTCATTTTTATTTTTGGACATTAAAGGAAACTGTCAAATTTTAACGAGGCTTATTATTTAATATTAGCGACGAAAAGTTCTTTATTATGTCTTCCATTCATGCAAACACAATTTTTAAAGAATAATTTTATTGTAACTTTTAAGTAATGTTTAGGGGTCAAACAGGGTTCACTTTTAGGTCCGTCTTTTTTTCTTATTTCAATAATCAAACTTTGCGTCACAAATTAATATTTCAAATAGTTTTTCTAGACAGCTGATTGGCATGTTGTTATTTTATTATTTCAAACATTTAAAAAATAAATAAAAAATAAAATAGGAGATAAATCATCTCTTTGGAGATGTATTATTCCGGTACAAATTCTAATTTGCCCAACAAAAGTGATATCTCTTATTTGGATGGTTTTCCATCAGTTATAGAAAGCTATGCGATATTAAAACCATTATCTTCGACTCTAAGCCTTAAATCTACCCAGATCCGATGTTTCATAACATTACGTGGAATTTTAAATATTGTTTAAACACCTTTTGCCATAAATAAGCGATTCGTGAGGAATTTAAGCCTTAAGTTTAGAAATAAATTCATCTTGCTTCGTTACAAGGCGCCGAGTGCTCTCGACAAATTTACAACGTCAGGCTCTAATTGTAATTTGGCGCGTGGCACGTGCCCTTCGCACGAGTCACCCCCTCCCAACCATTTACCTTGACAGGTGGAGGGTGATAAATTTCCGATAGAGATTCAATATTTATTTAGTTTGATTCTAGATAAACCTATTTACGGGGACCAACAATCGCACCCCGTTGTTTATGACTACTAATAAAATCATAATGCTTGTTTTTATCGATTTTGAATGGGAAGGATATGATTTATTTTCGAAAATTCATGAAGCTCCAGTATCGGGGTTTTTTTTTCTTTTGTTTTATATTTGTTTGTTTGTTGATTTTTAAATGATTGCTTTGTTTTGTTTTTCTTGGTTTTTTTTACATTATTGGTGTTTGTTTTTTTTTATATTATTATTATTTATTATTACAGCATATTTATAGTGCGCCCTTTCATATAACATGTTCAGGGGCACTTTACAAAGTGACAATGTAATTATAAATAAACAACAAGATTATAGATATGTTTGTACATATTTTTAGTTTTTAAGCGGGTTTTATTTTTTTTATTTTTCTTGTTTTGTTTTGTTTTTTTCTTTTAACTGAGTTGTGTGTGTTTCATATGGTGGGGGGGGGGGGGGTAAACTTAATAATGTTAATTTTGGAAAACTTGGTAAAAACTAAAATCAACAATTATACAAAATCCCTTTCTCATGTCCAAATCATTGTCGTCTATAGAATCAACATAGCATTATAGGCCAGGAGTCAAAGATAACAATTTCAACAACTATTGATCCAACGATCGGCCGATCTGTCAGGAATAACGGTACAGAGCGGACGGATACGATAATACCAGAAACAGTGACAGATGCGAGGGGTCGTGCTGCGGTCGGCGCACTCTTTCTATTCGTGTATGTATATTTGCATAATAATCGGAAGCGAGGCGGGAGGATATAAACGTTTTGACGTGCCATATGCGACAGAATGTCTTCGATTCTTGCCAACTAACGGGTTTTTCATCCAAAGCACGACAAGTCACTCCCGTCACAATATTTAATTATTTTATACAGAATGTTTTAATTCATAAGGATAATAAATTCAACGGGAACAATTTCGCAGATTTTTTTTTATATTTGTAAAGTGTAAATAATTAAGGTAAGTGTGTTGAGTTTTTTGCTTATTTTAAAGATATAATTCTTTGCTTTTTTTATTTTCTTTTTATGACAACTGTTTAACTTTTTTTACGGAATAAGAAATATGATTATTCAGTTTGACACTTTCAATATGTGCTAGTATATTGTATTTATTCGGGTTTTTTCTTCTTCTTAATTCTTCAATAATTACCTTAGCACATGCTTTGGCGTATCCTTGCTGTCTATAGATAACTTGAAAATTTATAATTAACTATTTAAGCAACAAAAACAAACAAGAATACAAATGAAATTATTTATTTATTTATTTCAATAGTATTCATGAATAATTTATTTATTTATTTATTTCAATTGCATTCATGAGTAATTTATTTTATACGGCGTGCTTCGGTTTATTTAGGTACCTCGCCGTTTCGTGTCGTCGTGAAAGTTTTTGACACATTTGGGTGTGTATACGTTTTTGTTGTTATTGTTTTCTTTTACCCACCAGCCTTTTCAACCGTACTTAGATAAACTTGTGTCGCACTACAGGTTTAATATACTTATACCTTTTCGATGCAAGGGATCAGCGGTGGTTCAGTGAGTAAGACGCTGGCTCACTAACTAGGGAGTTCGATCGCGGTGTTGGTCGTAAAATAAACTTTTGACGTGCTTAATGTTCTGCTCCGACTGGGTTAATGAAGACGGGATGGCTGAGAAAGTTTCCCGGGATTTTCCGACGTGATTTCCCCTTGTCAGCGGTGCAGGGTGGAGGGCGAGACAAGGAACACTGCCCAGTCGTAAGGTTGGAAAGAGGTCCCGCGTGTGTACATTAGAGTGACGGTTGGAATTAGTGGAAACAGTCGTTAGGGTGAGGCGATAAAATCGAGGTCCCGTGCCGAATAGTAGGACGTTAATAAACCCCATTTCAATTCGCTTCGATGTAAATTACTAAACAGTGTGCGATAAATAATTGAATATAGGTATAAGTAAGTAATTCAGTAAGTAATTGTTTGTTAAAGTGTCACACACTGCATACATTAAAATATATACATTAAACATAGATTATGCAAGAGCTAAATCTGCCTATTGCAGGTCTTTCTTTAGGCCTGAAATGTTAACTAAATTATTAATTAGACATTAATTAACTTATCCAGACCATAATCAACTCTCGATGGCATCGCTAGGCTGTGATGTTTATTGGATTAGGTTCCGATTTGCTGTTCGACTGCCATTCATAATTAAATCATGAAATGGATAATCGAGACTATGTTTTTTTATCCTACCGACTTTAGTAATGATGATCGGGGCTAGGCCGAAAATTCAATCGCTAAAATCTCGGTTAATAGTGGATCAATTTGACAGAAATTTTCAGCAAATTCCCTTTACAATATCTAGTTTTGAACTATTATAGTGGGAACTGTCCGCTCTTTATCTAATCTCCCATAATGTATCTTTAATTACGGTATACATTAGAAAAAAACAGCAATGTTTCGCCCATATTGACGTACTAAACACTTAACAGTTCATTAAAATCAAACCATTTAGACGAAGTATTAAATATTTTATTTCTTAAACCAACCTATTTCAATGAAGTATAAACACAATTATATGCACTTAAAGATACATTATGTAAGATTTAGATAAAGAGCTGGTCGTTCTTGCTATAATAGTTCCAAAATAGATAATGAAAAATTGATATATTGAAAATATCATTCATATTATGTTATCCTGATATTAGCCTTTGAAGTTTCTCAAGATGTGTGCACTGATCGTAACCACCGAATTGTTTGTTCGTGACTTAGCCTCGCTTCACCATTTTTAAATAATATCATTAAAGGGCCGAACAGTTCTAATCTACTTAAAGTTCGACCTATCCGATGCCATCGAGAGTTGATGGTCTAGATAGTTAATTAATGTCTAATTAATAATTTATATAACATTTAAGGCCTAAAGAAAGACCCGCAATAAGCAGATTTAGCTCTTTCATAAGCCTGTTTAATTAATTTTTTTAAAAATTAGGCTAAATTACGAGGCCGTTCAAGAAGGCGCGAGGACCCACGAGAATAAAATTAAATTTATTATTAAAAATTATAAATTGTTTCTAAAAATTAGTGTATATGATATTGTTTGAACTATTATAGCAAGAACGGTCACCTCTTAATCTAAATCTTACATAATACGTCTTTAACTACCCTCATAAATACGGGGGTCACGCTGGCTCGATCCCTTCATTGGCCGAGAAAGTTCATCCAGATTTTCCGGCGTGGTCCCCCCCCCCCCACCTCGGCCCTCTTTGTCAGTGATGCAGGACGGAGGGCTTGGCAAGGACAGCTGTCTAGTCATTCGGATGGTACGAAAAACCGAGGTCCTGTGTACATATTGGAGTGTACGAAAAAGATGGAATTCGATATAGGCCGTTGTGCCGCTGTCCGAGAAAAATTTCCCTCATAGCGTATGCCCGTCTTCATTAGCCCAGTTCGGTGCAGAACAGTAGGACGTTAAACCCCATTTCATTTCTGCTTCTCCTGACAGATCTTCAATTCTTGAAAGTTTCATTGTTTAAATTATGTTTCTAAATCCAGGTAATCAACATCATAAATCAGGAAATTGATGTCTCAAAGATTAATAATTTTTTTTTTTATCAAAATCGATAGCGTGCATAAGTCTAATGAAAATTCATCACCATCAATAATAACGCCATATTTTTTTTTATCTATTCATATTTTGAGATCATTATTACGGCCTAAATAAAGTTAATCCGATTTTAGATATATACCATTATTCACAAAGATTGACATATGTAACGACGATAATCATTAGTCAATTACCGCTAATCTAGCCATTGGTGGCGCGCGACTCACTTGAATGAGCGGCACGTGCCTTAGTCTCGCTTTGGAATTGTCGCTTACTTTGATCTGCCGTTTCACATCTGTCCACACAACGTCGGTCACGTGTGTCTGTTTTTAGAAACCAGAAAAATTCTCGGCTCTTGGAAACGGAAGCGTTTACCGCCTCAAATTACTTCCCAAAGAAACCAACTATTAGGTTGCTGGTATTTCCTGCCACAAAATGGACGATTTCCTAGTTAATTTGAAGTTATCCCTAATTCAAAACGTTGTTTTACTGCGCAGGTTTTTATACGTTGTCCCTTGCCAGGCCCTCCGTCCTACATCACTGACGAGCCGTAACGCCGCTGTCCGGTCAGATGTTCCTCATAGCACACTGCATGGTGTATGCCCGTCTTCATTAGCCCACTCGGAGTAGAACAGTTGGACGTTAAACCCCATTTCATTTCATTTTGTGAAAGTTGCTTATGTAATCACAATAGTTCCTGGTAGATGTCTTGGCGTGTCACCCCGCCCAAGACGTTGACCTTGCGGAACCGCTAAAATGGATATTCAAGAGACATAATACTAAACGTAAAGCTATATATTGGACTTTTCTCGTATGTGTCCATCCCCAATCGGCATTACTCTTTGAATTACATAGCCCTTCGGATGGACTAAATACCGAGGTCCCGCTGGCGTGTTCGTAACAGAAGCCTTGATAGTTGAAATTCGTTGAAGGATAAGCGGAAACGCCGCTGTCAGTGCATAATTTCCCTCGTGTACAATGCATTGCGCATGCCCGCCTTTAGCCAGGTTCATTTCACTTCTACACTTTCCGGTAAGAAGAGAAGAGAGATTTAATGGGTATCGCCAATCTTTAAACTTGTCGACGCGTGCATGTTGTAAGCCAGAATTTCAAGGGCTTGTTTAATCCAAAAATGAAACTTAAATTACTAAACAAACAAACTTCCGCTCAATCTTTCGAAACGAGTTTTTATCCTTTTAGTATTTGCCCGATGAAAATAAAACATCATATCAGTCAAAGAGGTTTAGATAAGAATGTAGATATTTTTGTAACCCGACAAACTATTCGCCGACAGAATCATCAATTAATGTAATTAATACTCCTTTTATCTAAAGATAATAAAAAGTAATCGAACATTTGATATTAACCATAAAGATAGGGAATGGTCCCTTGGGAGGGCGCGATCTGTTCTCTCAGAACGTCTAGCGTTGAGTCATTCTCACCTCGAACCGAATGTGAATCATTTAAACTTGTCGACTGCCCCCAAGAGACTCCAAGACATGCTAAAAGTTTAAACGCGCCAGAATTAGCCTTGGAATATTGGTATAATCAATTTTGTTAATCCTTTTATGCTCAAAGTTTAAATTCCATTTTGCGATCACGTGTTAATAATTCTAATTGAAAGGCGCTTTTGTACCCAACGATCACAAGACTTGCGTAAGGAAGTAACTTTTTTTTTCTAGGTTTAAAATAAATTTCGCGAATTAGAATGTTAGAATAATATAAATGATCCAGGCATCATTGTAACAAATTATTACCCCCTGCCCTTGTTATATTGATACCCTACTAGAATCAATCTGATTAAAACACAGATTTCGTTTCGTTTCGTAAGTAAATCGAAATTTTGAACTATAAAAACGAAACGAAATAGAGAGAGAGAGAGAGAGAGAGAGAATGGGGTTTAACGTCCACTCGACACAAACTAGGTCATTTCGGGACTAACATATGGTTTAATTTTATTTCAATAATTCGCTTGCGCATAGGGGTCTTTAGCAGTGGGAGGAAACCGGAGGACCCGGAGAAAACCCACGAGGTTGGACAGGCGACCCTACTCCTTGTCACGTACAACCGGGAATTCGAAACCACGCCAGTCGACTCAATGACAGACTTTATGATACAGCGCGCGCACGCTAACCATTCAGCCATTCAAACCCCCGAAACGAAATAGGATATGTGTTTTAATCAGATTGTACTAGAATATTTTACATCCACATATTAATTCATTTCTTTGATCTTGGGATAAATTTATATAGTGTTTATTTAAACATGTATAATTTGTGATGACATGCAGTTTAACAAACTACTTTACTACTCCAACCGGGATAATGAAGACGGGCATACGCCATGCAGTGTGTTATGAGGGAAATTTTGCACGGACAGCAATTGAACTCCAAATGTCAGGGTTCTTTTATGTGCACGCCAAGGTATACACGAGACCCCGGTAGCTTTTTTGTCGTACCACCCGAGCTACTAGACGTTGTTCATTATCCAGCCTTCCTTCCTGCACCGCTGCTAAGGGGAAACCACGCTTTACGATTCTGTCGGAAGTATTTTGCAATATGTCATCATAACATCCCACCCGGACTTGCCCGCGGTTATCCAGTTACTTTTTTTTCACATTCAGATTACCGTTGATTAGTATTAATGAATTATCGGACGTGCATGCTGTGTTTAAATTACTCCCCCTTCTTCCAGACAATACACAACCGCCTCCAAACACAGGAAACAGTTCGCTTGTTAAACTTGATTAGTGTGTTGGCGCATTAATTTATTGACCTAATTGATTCGTTTCCTAAAATTGATTACACTAAATGAAAAGTTCTTGAAATAGTAAAAATACCCCTCGTTTAAAGTCATTTTATTATTATTAATAACCCCATGGGACCCCCAGTCTGTTGGTAAACAAAGAAGGCTTTTAGCCATTTATTGATAAAAATCCGTAGTTTTATGGATGTGTATCTATGATCGTGTTGGTCGACATCCGATACTTGATACCTAATTGACAATGATACAAAATATTATCATATTCATTGAAAGTAATAAGGGGTCAAAGGTAGGCCTATATATATTTAAATTAAAGGCATATGTCCTATCTTTTACAACAGTCACAGTAAGAAAATGAAATGGTGTTTAACGTCCTACTATTCTGCTCCGACTAGGCTAATGAAGACGGGGATACGCCATACAGTGTGCTATGAGGGAAATTTTGCACGAGCAGCGGCACTATGGCCTACTCTTATATCGAATTCCAACTTCCAAGGGATTTTTTACGTATTTTTTTTTAGTTAAATTAGTTAACAGAACAAAATGTATGCAAATTAAATTGCATACTTGCTTGTATGGACCAGTTCTGGGAGGAGAGAGTGGGGGTGGGGCAACTGTCGGTCTTATTTGATACGGTAGTGCACAAGGGTTTGACCGAACGCCCGAACATCGGCATGTATTGGTGTTTCTTCCATCCTTATAGTTAACATAGATCAACATATAACATCGGTTCAGATCATGGTGATATTAAGGTGTGTCATCTAATCATGTCGTAGTGGGTTCGATCTTGCATTCAAAAAATGGGGGGGGGGGTGAATGGTCCAATGTTTTTAGCGTGAGCGGGCCTGTCCAACCTCGTGGACCCCCACGCGCAAAGGAATTATTGAAATAAAATTGCTGCACCATATGTTAATCTCGCTAACCCCTGTGTTTTCTCCGGATACCCTGGTTTCTAATGAATCCACTGCTTAAGACCACTTAGCGTAAACAGATATATAATTATGCTAAGTGGACATTGCAATCCCTTCCCCCCGCCCCTCCCGCACGCTCTCTCTCTCTCCTTCTCTCTCTCTCTCTCTCTTTCATAAAACGAAAACTATATATTTCATATACGTGCCAGAGCTACCGTTTAGTAATTGAATCAAATCAAATCAAGTACAGAATCATGATTTTGACCCACCCGAGAGTAGACCATAAAGTAATAAAATCATTAAACACTTCATAACGGTTCTTAATCTCAACTGATATTAAACATATTACCGGTAAACGACACATAAATACCGACGTCTTATCACGAAAACCACTTCCAAGACTAGCGGATATTTACCGTTGGAACCATTTCAACTGGGGATCATTAGAGATTCCTGTTTTTGTCAGGAATTAATTACTTTATGATATTGGTAATATTATAGCTAATATTGACAAAGCTCGCTAAAGTTATAAATGAATTGATATTGTGACAATTATATGATAGTACTTGTTGTCAATTAAGAAGATATTCCATGGAAATATGAAATCGCTGTCAACTAAACAGAAACTTGTGCACGTATCATTTGTATTGAAGTATTTCAAAGGCGCGAATCCAAGGGGGGGGGGTCTGTCATTGAGTCAACTGGCGTGGTTTCGATTCCCCGGTTGTACGTGACAAGGAGTAGGGTCGCCTGTCCAACCTCGTGGTTTTTCTCCAGGTCCTCCGGTTTCCTCCCAGTGCTAAAGACCCCTACGCGCAAGCGAATTATTTAAATAAAACTGAACCATATGTTAGTCCCGAAATGACCTAGTTTGAGTCGAGTGGACGTTAAACCCCATTTCTCTCGCTCTCTCTTTATTTTTTTTCTTCAAATTCTACAGTAATCTTTAGAACAGGGAAATTAGGAGTTGATTATAAATTGCCGACACTTAATAAAAACCTTCGATGAATTCAAAATAATCTTAGAATTCAAACCTTTGACGAATTAAAAATACTTCTGAATTTAAACCTTTAGACCGAGGTGTCTATTGTTTTTTCGGCCCGTCTAATAATACAACCTTAAAAGAATGATTGTAAATCTTCAGAATAATCTCCCCTTATATTCTATTCTCTTTTAAAACTTTGATTTATTTTTTAACATAATCCCCTTTCCTTTGTTTTCTTTCGTTCGTTCTTGTATTTTCCCATCCATTTAATCAAGTCTTTTTTTTCTGTTCGCTCTCTCCTTTTTTTTTACAATTTAAACCATCTGTTCAACTTATACCTCGTGAGAACGCAAAGAGAAAAACCAAGGGCAGATAATACAATTATCACCAATTCTACGGTTTCTCTTAGAAAGTGTGTGGATTTAATTAATTCGCTAAACCGTTCAATATTAACAAATCAAATTGGGTAAAAATAAAATAACCTACGGATTTAAGAAACGCATATTTATTCTAAATTATTCTTTTAACATATATTTCATTTACTTAATTTATTTTATTTTATTTTTTTATTTTTTTTTTTAAACCAACAAAATATTGTATATATATTTAAATTAAATTAGTTGCTATCAAAGGTTGCTGTTTTAAATATAAGCATAATTTTGTAATATTTTAATACAAAAACCTTATTAAGGTATCGCCTTTACTTAACTCAATAACATTAGATCCCGTTCGTTCGTTCCTGGTGTTTTACGTCCACTTCCATCAAGGGTGATATCGTAGACAAGACATTCGATCTGTAGAGTACGAGTAACTCAATATTAGGTACTTGGTTTCCTCTTGAAGAAAATGACATTTAAACATTTCTACGTAAGGGCAATTAAAGGATTAATATGGTTAATACAATTGTAGTTTGGAGTACACTTATGGGGACTGGGACCCTACAGCGAAAGCTCAAACGACCCTCTGGTGTTTCCATCTCTGAAGGGTAACAATGACTTAAATGGGTTTCTATGGCCGTTTTTAGTAGGCCCTTAAAATAACAATAGACATCATAATGATTCATGGGAAGATATTTATTATTCTCTTCTAATCACAACAGGGCCACCAAATCTAACTAGATTAGCGTAGCCATTTTACGTAACCGGTTCCTGCAAACAGTAATAACGGACTAATTAAGTCACGTCAATTCTCGTTGATTATCGCACCGCCCCGTACGTCATTTGATTACCAATGAGCCAATCAAAAAATGGCGGCGTATTGTGAAAATGTATCGAAGCGTATCGAGTCCCGCTGTAAAGTTGATGCCACATCTGTCACAGTTTACAAACAATGGCGAATGATTAACTAATATCCAAGCCCTTTATTTCCCCCGTCTCCATTCTTTCCTATCAATATAGCACAAGTAGCAACATTATTTTCTGATATTTAAAAATCAGTCGCTTGTCTAAAACATTTAATATAGTCCGAATAATTTTACCCCCAGTTTAACAATGCAATTACTTTTCTTGCAGGCCAATATATCTTTAGCAAAGTAAGATCTTTATTGCATTAATGTGATATAGGGATGGGTTCTTCGTTTCGTTGATAAAATAACTGAGTAATAAGTGGGATATAGATTTACTTCTTTCATAAATGATACAGAAAAATACAGATTCAATTCATTTCAAAGACACAGAAATGGAATAGTTTACGCGAAAACTGGTCATTCTTAGCATCGCTTCTCCATTTTTAAATTGAATCATTAAATGGCTGAACCGTTCAAATCTACTTAAATGGGAGTTGATTATGGTCTTGTCATGTTAATAAATGTCTAATTAATAATTAACATAACATTTAAGGTCCAAAGAATGACCTGCAACATGCAGATTTCGATCTTACATAATGTCTGTTTAATATTGCTGAATAGGTTTATACATATTCCAGAGGGATATAAAAAAAAATCATTTAAAGGCGAGCCAGCCATTCAGATAATAGTACACAAATATACACAAATTAAGATATTATAAAGAATTCTGGTAAACAATTATCAAGCTCACCGTTCCATATACTTCGAATGTGAAAAGTAAGCATAAAGGTTGCGAGAAACCAATCCCAACCCGTTATCTTAACACAAAAATTAATGGCTGAATTCGTCAAAATTTAAAAAATTAAAGACATTGTTCCCATATAACAGAACGGTGCGCCAGTTCTTGAAAAAATGTTTTACGCTGCTTGACTCTTTCAACTTGCTAAATAATAAGTCGAGGATGGTAAAACTGAAATCTAATTTTAAATTTTTGTTGAATATTTTCAGACTAAAGATGCCTATTAAAGAAGATGAGTATAACTTAGAGGTTGATATGGATGAGTTAGATCTTCCAACAGATGATGAAGACGACGAGGATGATTACTCCGAGATCGACGACCAACCGGATTCCACTACTGGAGAAAACGATAAAAGATCCACCAAGGATAAGAAATCGGGACCAGGTCGCAAGTCCAGAAAAGATGACCAATCCGACGAACCAAAAGTGCCCAAGAAACGCGGTCCCAAAAAGAAGAAAATGACAAAAGCGCGGGTGGCAAAACTTAAAATTCGTCGCTACAAGGCCAACAGTCGCGAGAGGAACAGAATGCATGGCTTAAACCATGCGTTGGACGATCTCCGTAAACATGTTCCATGCTATTCCAAAACACAAAAACTCTCCAAGATCGAAACTCTGCGATTAGCAAGGAACTATATTTTCGCATTAGCCGACATCTTGAAAAATGGCGTCCGTCCTGACAGTGTGTCTTTTGCCAAATCTCTCTCTAAAGGACTTTCACAAAATACGATGAACATGGTTGCTGGGTGTCTTCAGCTGAATCCTAGAACTCTCTTACCAGAATCATCGTATCAGAAACCATATCAATTTATGTATGAGAACGCTATGGGCTTTTCGTCGGCTCTGAGTCACGATCCATACACCACCTTTCCCGCTATGCTAGAACCGTCTCATTGCGTACAACAACGTCACATAACGTCAAGCCAGTTATCGCCTTACCAGTATTCTGTTAACCACACAACCGTGCCTTTATCCACAAGTTGCCTCTCGCTACAGAGAAACACCAGCCCCATTTATGGCGGGAACAGGGAAGCTTCCTATCCGACAGGATCGATGACGTCACAGTTTGTGCGGTCATGTGATATAGGTGTGCCGTGTGATAATTATGCGAACAATATGAACAGTTCGGGAAATAGTTTTGGACATCCAGTAGTAGACAGTACACAGGATTGTGGCGTATATACACTACCTGATGATCTGGTCGACTTCCAACCTGAACCAGCCCTGGAACAGGATCTTGGAATGATTCATTCGACAACGGGTCTATTTGATGTTAATGCCGGACATGTGTGAAATTAATAAACAATATTTATCACTTAATAATGCGAAGTATATTCAACAGTGTTATAACTCGATAGTGTTTACAGAATATAATTATTCTACAGTCCAGTATGCGGTGTCTGTGATTGTCCTGAAACGGCGAATGGTGAACGCCAAAAAAAGAAAAAAAAGAAAAAAAAAGGGGGGGGGGGATAATGCGACTTGATGATCGGGATTCCTTTATTTCTCGCGTATTTTTTATTATGAAAATTCACAACGAAACGAAGAAATGCCATGTGCTGATAGTACGAGGAGGTGTATATTTTAAATACCAATTAAGGAAACGTGTTCTATCCCCCCACCCCCACGCTCAAAAGAAAAAAACGCACTCCTCACAAAAGTTATCAATTTCTGTCAATTTTATTTTTTTCAAACGTAATCTAATAGCCCTAATATTTATACCGGTAGTGAATTTTCCGGTAGTTATAATTTTTACAGCAGAATAAAAAAAATACGCGGAATATACAGGAATCCCGATCATCTAGTCGCATTATGGCTATTTTTGGGCGTTCGCCATTCGCCGTTTCAGGAGAATCACAGCCACCGGTCCAGTATGCTAAATTCAAGAAAAATTTCAAAAGAAGTGCCCTGTTAAATGTGCAATATTGTTTCATGTGTATTTAATGTTATTATAACATGCGTTTATGTTTCAAGTACACCGTGTTATTATATAATATTCAACAATCAGTAATATAGGGGTATGTAAATGAAGTACATGTAATTAAACATTGCATTAATATCCAAATATAACAATTAATAAATCTATAACGTAAATGTAATACTTTATTTCATTTCGTTTCGTTTAAATATTTCAAATATATTCGATGTAATAATTACGTGTACAATAATGATTCAGTTGTAACAATACGCAAGCCAAATGTAACAATAATGTACATACATATAATATAATGATGATTCAAATGTGACAATTATGTATATAATGTAACAATTGTGTATAAAATATGATACTTATGTAGCAATCCCTGAAGCTAAATGTAACAATAATGTATATACTGATATAATGATTCAAATGTAATAATTATGTATATAATAATGTTTAAAATGTGACAAATGTAATGTTATTATATATGAATAATGTTTCTAATGTAGCCACCCATAAGCTAAATATAATCCGAGAAGTCAGTTTGACAAGGTCGGTGGAAAAATAGAATAATAAAGAAAAGGTGTAATTATAAACTAAGTCCAAGAAGTAAATGTCGATTCAAATGCAATAGTTATAAATAATAGTCTTTTTAATGTCGGAAATCCAAAGCTAATTGTAATCCGAGAAGTCAGTGTGACAAAGTATGCGGAAAGTAGAACAGTCCAAAAAAGTGCAATTATAAACCAAGTTCAAGAAGTTAATTATACACACTAATTATGTGATTTATTATTGATAATACACTTTACACTTGTATCACTGATGATTAGGCGGACAAAGTGCAATAAGATGGTGAAAGTGCAATTATATATTTCAATGTTACAAACCCTAAGTAAATACAAGTCCAAAAAGTTTGTTGACAAGTTAAATATATTATTTTACTAATATAAGACGGGAAACGTGCAATATAGAAATATTATTTTATTAATATAAGTTAATAATAAAGTGCAATTATATACTTTTGGCCGGAAAGTGCAATAATATAGGAAAAGTGAAATATATTTATATCTACATCTAATATGTTAATAGGATAGATTAGTTTTGTGACCTACTGATAATTATATACAGGTTACTTATAAATGCAAGAATATAGGAAGAAGTGCAATTATATAATATAAAAATATATATTTGTTGTATTTCAATAAATAAAATAGTTTTATTATATTTTCAATATTATTCTAAGTAACGGTTGTGTCCAAAAGAAAGTATACACACTCAAAGTATGACTGAGTTTTGTTTAAATTAAAAACATTTGACAACACAATACTGCACATGTCTCTTGCGTCCAAACTCAACATTTCTGGGTAAAAAAATACCCAATTACTTCATACAATGGACAAACGACTGGCTGATGCATCACGAAATAGACAGTGTATACTTTCTTTTGGAATAGTTCATGTCTTTTTTCTCCTGTATAAAAACTATACAAAATGCTTGCCTTATGTCAGTGGCGTAGTGTGAGTGGTGTGAATGGGGCCACAGGGGCGGTTGGCCTGAATGCAGATTTCTAAAGGGTCACAAAACTTTCAAGAGAATCAAAAAATAAAGTAGTAATAATGACAACGCTTTAGAGGCATTTAGTAACTGGATAGAGCAATAAACTATTACATATACTTATGGAAGAAAAATTACTGATTTATTTGGACGACGCTTCGAAAAATATTCTCTCAGCGTTTGCAAGCAAGTGAAAACGTTGAGAGAATGCTCTTCGAAACGTCGCCTAAGTAAATTATTAAATTATTCTTCCATCTGTTATAGTTCATAGTATAATAATGAATAAAACAAACAGAAAAAAAAATATACCGCACGCTCACATAGAAAATCTCCCAGTGTTTGAACATTTTGTGCTATGTTAACGATTCTCGCTCGGATGCGGTGAAGCAATACTTGCCTTGCCCCAGGCGCTGGCAACCCACACTACGCCACTGCCTTATAGAAAATTGTTTCTCTATTGTGCCTATTGTACTTATGAATATTATTATGAATTCTTCAAAATATATATTGTATATGATATTTAAATAGTAAACAGTATGTGCCTATATATTATAGAAATATATATAATAAAAATACAAATAAATTGTAATATTTTACTGAATAATATGAATAAAAATTGCACATTTTAAAATTTGAGACGAATTTTAAAGTCGGTCTAAGCAATTTTAAAAAAAATGTGCAATATTCAATTTAATTGTCGATAAAATATGTTTAAACATAGGTGTTCGCATTAAAATAATAAATATCCTTTAGTGTTCCGCGTTAAAATGATAAATATCCTTTAGTGTTCCGCGTTAAAAGGATACAATACTTTAGTGTTTCACGTTAAAATGATATATACATTTACTACAGTGTTTCGCGTTAAATTAGTGTTTCGCGTTAAATTATATACATTAGTGTTCCGCGTTAAATTATACATGTATACTTTAGTGTTCCGCGTTAAATTATACATGTATACTTTAGTGTTTCGCGTTAAATTGATACACGTACTTTAGTGTTTCGCGTTAAAGTATATACTTTAGTGTTTCGCGTTAAATGATACAATACTTTAGTGTTTCGCGTTAAAATGATACATATACTTTAGTGTTTTGTGTTCAAATAATACATTATACTTTAGCATTAGCGTAAAACTGATACCTTAAGTGTTTCCCCTTAAATGTTATACTTTAGCATTTCTCCTTAAATGGTGTAATTTAGTGTTTCGCGTTAAAATGATATACTTTAGTGTTTCGCGTTAAAATGACACACTTTATAGTGTTTCGCGTTAAAAGAATACATAATTACATTAGTAAATCGCATTATTATCATCCATCTACTTTATTTTTCGCGTTTTATATATCTATTATTCCGCTTTATAACAAAACAATTACAATATAACAGTATTTCCCTTATTATTTTGTTTAATAATAAAATGATGTATTTTGCTATACCCTGGTTGTCTTCCTATGATTATCCCTTGATTAAATTTATGTAATAAGCTTGTAAAGATAATCCCATTGTTGAAATAAAATAATGTGTTCAAAAAGAAATATTTAGTTCTGTGTTTATTTTATATACATATGTCGTATGTATCCGTATATGAGAGAGAGAGAGAGAGAGACGTCCACTCGACACAAACCAGGTCATGTCGGGTATATAGATACCAGTGGCACATAGGCCGGGGTGTCGTTGGCCAAGCAAGTGGAGAGGTGGAGATTCGGGAAATCATTGCACTTCTAGCTACTCCTCTGAATACTTCTGGAACATTAGGAGAGAGAGAGGGGGTGGGGGGGTAACGTCCACTCGACACAAACCAGGTCATTTCGGGCTAACATATGGTTTAATTTTATTTCAATAATTCACTTGCGCGTAGGGGTCTTTAGCAGTGGGAGGAGCCGAAGGATCCGGCGAAAACCCACGAGGTAAAGAAAGAAATTAGGGGTGGTTTCAATGTTATAAATTTCAGTGGGGTTCGATATTGATTTGGATACTTACGAATAATTGAAAGGTTTTCTGTCAAAAATACAAGGCACCCATGTGTTTCACCAGTCCTTGCAGTGTAATTAATATACCTGTTTAATTGATTATCCACAGTGTCAACTTACAAAATCACGTTATACTATCAGTTTTATCATTCGAAAAAAGGGTAGTAAGAAAGATTTGAATGTCAGTATTAGAGCCAAGACCGAGAGCTACCCATTTCATATGTGTGCATCAGTACAAAGTCGGTGGTACTTTTTACCGCCGACCACCGCCGACCAAATGCTTTTTACCGCCGACCGTCGTGTAATTACCGCCGACCAAATACTTTTTACCGCCGACCGCATTGTAATGACTTTCGACCGTAATATAATTACCGCCGACCAAATACTTGTTACCGCCGACCAAATGCTCGAAAAACATTCATATATATTTTAAAGAATATGGAAGGACAAAACTACAATTTAGATATTGAAGGGCAAATATATCAAGATTGTTTCAGCTACTGGTTATAAATAAATAACATTTTAGGCCTATCTTTTATTAGTGCGAGGGTTAGGGTTAGGGTTGTCGACCATAAAGTAAAAAGTACGACCCGTAAAAAGTGTCGCAGAAGCCTAATATCGACATTTCTAAGTCCCGCCTCAATTTATCTTCCATGAGTATTGGATATTGCTCATCTACACATTATGCTCCCTGCATATTCCGTAAATTTCCAATATTGTTATTTAATGAATGTTTATTCTGTAACAAGAGGAAAAAATATAATTTTGGCATTTTGAGATTCAGATATAAACGTATAATAACTTATTCCTGAATCAATGACCCGCGTAATCGATCTTTGAGTGGGATAAGGTCTAATCAAACGGTCCAAATGAACAGCGGAGAAGCTCATTCCTTACCGTTTTAGTTGACTCTTTAGTCTTTCTATAGTTGAAGGGAGACAACACCGATTAAGAAACGATAAAACCATCAAAAACTGAATGCATGAAAGTATACTCAAATATATTGTTACCGTACCGATGTAGTGTACCTCAATTCCACAAATTCATAAATCAGTAAATAGGCCATATATATACTTCTACCGATATTTTAACATTCCATAATCTTTGCGAAATATTTACAATTATTATGGCCACCTCCTAGACTGGATAGTCGAGGGTTAATGCAAACACTGGATAATCAAGTGTAGTTTTGCCGGAAGTAAAAAAGCACATGGCCAGAAAGCAGCATGTCGTTTCACAGATCAAAACAAAAACAGCCAAGTTTTAAGAACTTGACCGCTCCAGATTTTGGTGTACCCAAGGCAGAACAAGTTCCGGTACGACATTTTAAAAGAACGGATTGCATTGTGCTAAAAAGAATATTAATATTAATGATTATGGTTAATGAAACGATAAATGTTTTTTGCCGAGTGGCACAGTGCTACTTTCGTTTTATTTGTGAGTTCTCGACATAATCAAAGCAGGGGATGTCGACATGAGACAGACTGGAAGCTCAAATTAAAGATATAGGCTCATATTATGTTTGATGCTTTCTGATGTTGCCCGATAACATGTTGCATAATATTATTATTATAAATTAAAAGAAATTTGGTCATAATAACGTACAGAGCTCTTTATGGTCTACTGGGTATATCGAATTCCCACTGCCAAGGGTTCTTTTACATGCACACCAATGTGTACATAGGAACTCGGTTTTTCATACCGTTTGAACGACTATACATTGCCTGCACAGCCTTACTGACCCATAATAATAGCTCAACAAACTACCTATAGCTAGCTATAGGCCTAACTATTATTGCTAATATTTTACAGTTGATTGAATGGCGTTTAAAGCTATAGTCACTGTGTCCAAAAAGTGCCTATTGTTTATTTTTTTTGTGAAAGAATAAAGGTACCGGTATCTCGAATTCGACACATGGGATGTTTTACATTTGTAAGGATCGTTTGCAAGCCTGCAAAGGATTTTCCCTGAGGTTTATATTTTGCCATGTGAATCCAGATGCATTTATGGTACGGCAAGTAAGGGAAATTTATGATATTAATTAACTGTCATTTTGCTTATGTTTCAGCTTTTGCAAGATGTCACCCGACCACATGTAGAATCTTTTAATTACATGCTACAAGATGGCTTACGTAATGCCATCAAGGTAAACGTTTACATATTTATTATTATGACCAACATAGGATACCATACAAAATCTTATTGATATTCTACTGCATTCGTTTCCAATCTGATTAAAACACAGATCCTATTTCGTTTTGTTTTTTATAGCTCGTAATTTCATTTTATTTGTCTGTACTACACTAGGAAGAGTTGTTATATAACTCACGTTCTGGATGATGTGATGGAATAACAAATGAAACGGTCTGTTATGGCAAGTTCTTGCTGTGCTGTGCTGTGTTGGTTTCGGATATTCATACACTATTGATCATTAACTAAAAAATAATAATTTTACCAAGTGCTTTTGGTTAATTACATGTAATAGCCTACAGTTGCTATAAATTTGATTACTAATTTATGTAATGTGTTATAAATTTAGGGGGGTTGGATGGCCGTATGGTTAGCACGTGCGTGCTGTATCATAAGGCCTGTCATTGAGTCAACTGGCGTGGTTTCGAATCCCCGGTTGTACGTGACAAGGAGTAGGGTCGCCTGTCCAACCTCGTGGGTTTTCTCCGGGTCCTCCGGTTTCCTCCCACTGCTAAAGACCCCTACGCGCAAGCGAATTATTGAAATAAAATTAAACCATATGTTAGTCCCGAAATGACCTAGTTTGTGTCGAGTGGACGTTAAACCCCATTTCTCTCTCTCTCTCTCTCTCTCGCTATTAATTTAATACATACCAGTTTATCTGTATATTTTACAGGACATTAGACCAATACAGTTTTCTCTTCCAAATGAAGAAAGAGTTTCTATATCTATTACAGTAAGTATCTATGTCATTTTTATCAAATTATAGAACGTGAAATAATTATAAATAGATCATGAAAATATTTTGGGCATTGAAATTAATGCAAATATTGCCAAATTTCGAGCATTGAATGCAAATATTGCAAAATTACACTTCACCATAATGACTTCAATAATACTAATACATTTATTCCTGAACGCTAAACTGTGTTGAAAAATGCATAAATGTAAAACTGTCCGGTAAGCTGATTTATGGCGGCCCAATGAAATTATAACTTAATGGGAATGGAGTTTAGCATCTTCTTAACACAATATGTCAATCAATCTGAGACTGACATATGTTTTTTTTTTATGTTTATGTGTGTAATTTAAGGGAGAATTTTGCCCAGGCAGCTTTGGTTTCCCTACTCTTGTTTGAATTCCAGCTGCCAAGAGATTTTTATGCGCCCTACCAATTTTTAAACATGACCTCGGTTTTTGTTCCATCCGAACAACTAGTCATGCTTTCCTCGTTAATCCCTGGTAGCTCAGTGAGTAGGATGTTGGCTCGCTAACCTGGAGGTCCAGTGTTCGATTCCTGCGCCGGCCAAGAAAGTCCATCAGGATTTTCCGTCATGGTTCCCCCTTGTCAGTGGTTTAGGACAGAGGACCTTGCAAGGGACAATGTATAGTCGTTCGGATGGGACGCAAACCAAGGAATAGAGCCATTGTCCGAGCAAGATTTTCTTATGCACACTGCATGGCGTATGGTCTGTCCTCATTTCTCCCAAATGCCTCCCCTGACGACTGGGTAAGGAGCTTGAAAAATTCTAAAGATTCTTCTTGTCCCATGTCAGGATTTGAACCCAGGGTATTGTAACTGTGAATTAAGATTTGATGATGTATTAATATTATTTGTTATTTTCAGTCTGGTATTATACGTTCACCACGAGTTAACCAAACCAATGTGGCTGTTTCTACACAAAGAGTCTACCCTAAAGAGGTATTTATATACATTCTCTATAAAAGCCTTAATGCTATGTTCCCACTATCACAAATCGTGTTACAATTGGAATCATGGTTTTAATCGTGGAGTAATTGTGGTGATCCTATCTTGGGTTATCATATAATGAGGTCAGTCATAGCAATCGTATTGATTGTATTGAATCGTATCTGAACGTATCTGCACTTAGCAGATCGGGGACTCAATAGGGACACTTCTATCATAACACATTGCACAACAGTGGAAATATAGCATAAAATACATCCAGTTCAAATTAGTGGATTTGCCACTGCCATGGCAAAATACATGTTAACCACTTTTATTGTTCTTGTGTTCATGTATATCTTAATGTTAAGTTGTTAATAATATAATAAAGTTATCTCCCTTAGCTTTCGATTCAATAATTATGAAAACGAACATTACATTAGCAAAACATTACAAAGGTGCTTCGAAGAATGCGGTAGGGGTGTAATGTATAGTCATATATTGTGTATTATTTGTGTTGTATGTTACTATGTACTATTTGTATAATGTAATGTAACCATGTATTATTTGTATATGTTATCATGTATTATTTGTATATGTAACTATGTATTATATGTATAATGTAATGTAACCATGTATTATTTGTATATGTTATCATGTATTATTTTTATAATGTAATGTAACCATGTATTATTTGTATATGTAACTATGTATTATATGTATAATGTAATGTAACTATGTATTATTTGTATATGTAACCAAGTATTATTTGTATATGTAACCATGTATTATTTGTATATGTAACCATGTATTATTTGTATATGTAACTATGTATTATATGTATAATGTAATGTAACTATGTATTATTTGTATATGTAACCATGTATTATTTGTATATGTAACCATGTATTATTTGTATATGTAACTATGTATTATATGTATAATGTAATGTAACTATGTATTATTTGTATATGTAACCATGTATTATTTGTATGTGTAACCATGTATTATTTGTATATGTAACCATGTATTATTTGTATATGTAACCATGTATTATTTGTATATGTAACTATGTATTATATGTATAATGTAATGTAACTATGTATTATTTGTATATGTAACCATGTATTATTTGTATGTGTAACCATGTATTATTTGTATATGTAACCATGTATTATTTGTATATGTAACCATGTATTATTTGTATATGTAACTATGTATTATATGTATAATGTAATGTAACTATGTATTATTTGTATATGTAACCATGTATTATTTGTATGTGTAACCATGTATTATTTGTATATGTAACCATGTATTATTTGTATATGTTACCATGTATTATTTGTATATTACAGTGTAGAGAGAGGGGTACAACATATAAAGGAGCATTACAAGTATCTATAACTTGTTCTATTAACAATAAAATTATAGGACAATTAGAAAAAATTATAGGACAAATTCCTATCATGGTGAAGGTTAGTATTAAACTCTTAGTTCTTATACTCTCATTTTAAACTTATGCTTTTTTGTTTGAATCTCAAGTGAATTCAGTTACTTGATGTAGGGTTTCAATCAGTGATGGGATTTCGCCCGTATATTCCGGACATGTCCGACGCTATTTTCCAAACGTCCTAAATTGTCCGACCACGAATATGCCCAATCGGACATCAAGACATGGTGAATAATATTCAAAATTCCCAAATTAATATAGTGTACTATATGGTAATTTTGGAGGAATTTTAAACAGGTACGGATCGGCAGTAGTCGGCACACTTTCATTCTATGGTATTACGATGTCACATAATTTTGTAGGAATATTATTGACATAAATTTGAATTCCGTACGGGAATTAAACATGAAAAATAACGAGGTGCACCTATCTTTTATTACGTATAAATTTGAATGTTTTGTAGACACATGATTCTTAATTGTGGTTTGAAAACGCCTGCTTAAATAACGATAAGAGTTATGCCCCTTTATTTTCGGGAAAATATGTCCGACAAGAAAAATTATGAAATCCCATCAATGCTTTCACTACATGGAGTAGGTTTGCCTCCACTGTTTAAAAGCTCTGCAGGTGGCATGATTAAAGGCTTGTGGAGAGTAAATTTCTTGGAGAAACCTTCCATTGTTTAAAATTTCTGTAAATTGTAAGCTTTCAGGCTTGTGAGAAGTCAGTTACTTGTAGAAGGGTTGTTTTGGGGGGTTGGATGGCCGAATGGTTAGCACGTACGTGCTGCGCTGTATCATACGGTCTGTCATTGAGTCAACTGGCGGGGTTTCGATTCCCCGGTTGTACGTGACAAGGAGTAGGGTCGCCCGTCCAACCTCGTGGGTTTTCTCAGGGTCCTCCGGTTTTATCCCAATGCTAAAGACCCCTACGCGCAAGCGATTTATTGAAATAAAATTGAACCATGTGTTTGTCCTGAAATGACCTTGTTTTCTCCCACTGCTAAAGATCCCTACGCGCAAGTGAATTATTGAAATAAAATTGAACCATATATTAGTCCCAAAATGACCTTGTTTGTGTCGAGTGGACGTTAAACCCCATTTCTCTCTCTCTCTGTAGAAGGGTTGCTTCCCCTGTTTAAAAGTTCAGCACTTGGTATGATTATAGGCTTGTAAGGAAAAGGTTTCTTAGGGTAGAAGTGCCTTCATCGGTTAAAAGCACTACACAGAGAAAATGTAGTTGAATGATATTGTAGAGTGAGGATAGACATATATCATGCTGGGATATTAGTGCTCAAGCATCTGTGATGATTGAAAATATTTGATAAAAGGTCATAATATTGAGTTAGAGGGTTAGCCCCTGATAATCTTTGCTAGTTGCTATAAATTCAGTGTTAGTACTCAGACATCTGTGATATTTGAAAATATTTTATAAAAGGGCATATAGCTCTATTCTTAATATTAAGTTAGGAGGTTTATGTCCTTTATGTCTTTGTGCTACAGTAGTTGTTATACATTCAGTAGTTGCTATAAACTCAGTGTTAAATATTCAGAATAATTCGGAATAATTAAAAATATTCAGAATAATTAAAAATATTCAGAATAATTCAAAATATTCAGAATAATTCAAAATATTCAGAATAATTCAAAATATTCAGAATAATTCAAAATATTCAGAATAATTCAAAATATTCAGAATAATAATAAACTGTTTTTGTTTGTTTTCAGTCAGATGCCTGTAATTTATCACAACTTAAACCCGCAGAGTTAATCAAACATGGAGAGGAAAATGAGGTAATATTTTATACAGTTTACGCTTATACTTATATCCAAACAATCAGTGTAAATTTAAGAAATATAACTGTAGACTTTACATTGGAATGAAATGGGTATAACATCCTAATTTTACTTACCAACCGGAATAATGCTTTACTTTATTTATTTCTTTAAGTCATACGACTTATCAGATACAATCTATAAGCCTGGAAATAACGGTTTTAGATATACCTGACAAAATGTCAGGCACTAATTAAATAGTACCTGACAATTTCAACTTAGTGCCGGACATGTATTAATAATATCAATAAAAAAAACAATTCCGTGCCGGACAAAATGATAAGCACCAGAAGTTTTGTGCCTGACAAAGCCTGAATCTGTGCCTGACATTGTCTGTGACAGGTGCCTTATTTCCAGGCTTGACAATCTACAATATTGTTATTGAGAACGACCGAAAATGTAGATTGGCAAATGTCATGCAGTGTGCTTTAATGTAAATTGTTTTGTTTGGACAGTTTCACTTTAACTTCCACTTCATCAAATTCCAACTGTTAAGGATTCTTTAACGTGCACACCAAAATGTACACAACACCTCAGATTTTTGCTCCATCCACATGATTAGATTCTGTTCCTTGCCAGACCTTCCTACCCTGCACCACTGACAAGGGGAAAGCCATCTTCAATAGAAGACTTGACCTCACTTTAACTCCATAGCCTTCATCTTATGAAGCCCTTCGCGTAATACCCTGCACTAATTTCTATTGACAGCTAACTCAGCTGATAGAAAATATCATCGCAATTACCAAGTCTCGCGCTTTCCGTCTAAAATGTTTACCTGTAATAATCAAGTTGAAAAGATCAAGGTTTGTTCAATGTCAAGGTGTTCGTGTAGGTCGCCATAGTTGATTTGAGTGTTTTTGTGTGATAACCTTCAATTGGACAACGCTATTGTTCACCTGTCACCGGTAAAGAGAGATAACAGACCTATAAGATTGTGAAGTTTAGTTAGACTAATCTAGCAACGGCTAGACGTTGTAAAAAACATGGTCGTTGCTTCTTTAACATGGGGGTAAACCTGGCTTAAAATCCCGGGAACTTTTTTCACCAACATGGGGCTGAACCCCAGACCTGGTTATTGAGTCAGCCCTTTATTCAGGATCATGGGGGGAAACCTGGCTTTAAAATCCCAGGAACTTTCTTCGCCAACATCGGGACTAAACCCGAGACCTTGTTATTGAGCCAGCCCTTGATTCACATATTGAACTGAATTCAATTAAATTTTTAGACATTAAGAAGAAAGTTATCAATTTTACCTTGATAAAAACTTTTTTTTTTACAGGAAATGGGAGGATATTTTATAGTTAATGGAAAAGAAAAAGTGATTAGAATGTTGATCATGCAGAGAAGAAATTACGTAAGTCGGTCGATTAACTTGTAAATGTTTCATTTACAATGCCCTTAAAAAGAAAGTTCATATTAAAACTCAAGTATAGATTTGCTAATATTAAAGGCCAAGCATGCCAGAATAAAGGTTGAATAAGTAGCTATATATATTACATTTTCAATCTTTGTCTTTACTCTGTAGTTTGTATTTTACAGCCACTTTGTCTGTTTTTTACTGCCTATGTTTTACGGGGGTTGGATGGCACGTTCAATCATAAGGTCTGTCATTGAATCAATTGGTGTGGAGTAGGGTCGCCAGTCAAACTTCGTGGGTTTTCTCCAGGTCCTCCGGTTTCCTCCCACTGCTAAAGACCAATACACACAAGCGAATGATTGAAATAAAATGGAACCATGTGTTAGTTCCGAAATGACCTAGTTTGTGTTGAATGGACATTAAACCCTCCCTCTCTCTCTCTCTCTCTCTCTCTGTACTCTGTAGTTGGTTTATTACAGCCTCTATGTCTGTTTTATTCTGTTTATTACAGCCTCTATGTTCTACTCTGTTTATTACAGCCACTATGTCTGAAAAGAAATGGATGGAAAGCACGAGGTCCGTTTTATACAGAATATGGTATTCAGCTTCGATCAGTCAGAAACGATCAGTCAGGAAATGTAAGACATTTTCATATTACCATATATAATGTCGACATAAACAGTAGCTTCTGTCAGTCTGTTCACATTTTTTTTTTAATTACGGAAAGATATCTTGCCGATTTATTGACAAAATTTACTTTATTTTATAAGTTCTACCTTCATCAACTTTTTTTTTTAAAGTTGTGTTTATTGGTGTTATGTTTTGCAGTCTTGTATTCTACATTATCTTTCCAATGGTACAGCCATGTTGGAATTCGGTCACCAGAAAGATAGATTTTTTGTACCAGTTGTTTTCATATTAAAGGTAAGAAATCAAAATTGGGTGACAAGGAGTAGGGTCGCCTGTCCAACCTCGTGGGTTTTCTCCGGGTCCTCCGGTTTCCTCCAACTGCTAAAGACCCCTACGCGTAAGCGAATTATTGAAATAAAATTAAAACCATATGTTAGTCCCGAAATGACCTAGTTTGTGTCGCGTGGACATTAAACCCCATTTCTCTCTCTCTCTCAAAATTGGGAGACGTTCAATTTTGTTTTAAATGTAACTATCAGAAATGTATTATTTTTTAACGTGGCTTAACACTTTATTTTTTTTTTTTTGCATAATGCAAGTTGATGTAATTTTGACCTCAGTAAAGCACTCTATATTATAATATGAATTTCACTGGAAGTGTTGGTAAGTGTTTCAATTGAAACCGAAGTTAACAACAGCATCTTTATCAATTTTTGTATACCGGTACATATTTTATTGCAGGCATTAGTAGATGTATCAGATAAATATATATATGACGAAATGACCCGAGGTTATGAAGAGGACACTTATTTTAAAGGGTATGTTGCTAGAATTTTATTTTAAAGAGTATGTTACTAGGATACTTACATTGTATTTTAAAGTGGCATGGTTTTGAATCCCTGGTTGTAGGTGACATGGAGTGGGGTGGCCTGTTCAACCTCGTGGGTATTCTCCGGATCCTCTGGTTACCTCCCACTGCTAAAGCCCCCTACGTGCAATCGAATAATTATTGAAATAAAATCGAACGATATGTTAGTCCCGAAATGACCTAGTTTGTGTAGAGTGGAGTTAAACTCTCTCTCTCTCTCTGTCTGTATTTTAAAAGGGTAGTTACTGGGACACTTATTGTGAAGCTTAAAATATTCTGAATAATTCTACTATTCAATTAAATACAGTTTCTATTGGATGCAATTCTCTTTGGCTGTAATTTTTGTGAAAATCACTTTTTGTAGGGATTCTGTAGGAGCCAGTTGATATAATAGTGGACTCCTCATTAGAAATACAATCAGATCCATACAATAATTTCTGCATTTCACAAAATGAACAGTAATCATGTTATTATTACCAGTATTTTGTTTCATTTTAACAGATGTATTGTGAATGAATATGTTACTAGAAGTATTAATTGTGTTTTATTTTAACAGTTAACAGATGTATTGTGAATAAGTTGAGAGAAGTATTAATTGTGTTTTATTTTAACAGATGTTTTGTGTTTTATTTTAACAGATGTATTGTGAATATGTTACGAGAAGTATTAAAAGAGAAGTTATTAACTCAAGACAGTATGTTAGATTTTATTGGTGAAAAGTTTCGAGTGAAATTAAATTTACCCGAATGGTATACAAATAAAGATATTGCCAATTTCTTGTTAGAGTAAGTTACATTCTTTTTCGCAAATTTCGCTACCCAGCTCTTTATCATCCAATAAACACCCTTAATATTAAAATACTTTAAAATGTACTTTCATTAATAAATGTTTTAGAGCCAAAAACGCCTAAGAGATATGCCCTTCTCCTTTTGAACCTGTGTTCTTTTACAATCTTTCTTAGGCAATCAATCTCTGTCACTGCAAAAATATTGATTTGATTCTAAAATTTTCTCATATGACATTATATACAAGATTTGGGATCCAACTAATTAATACAATGACAGAAATTTTGTTTCTGTTAGTAAACAGGGTGTTTTTTTTTCCATTTGAGATTATTCTAGAGAATATGATTTTCATGAGTTGATATATCTTAGTTTATATATTATTTGTGTATTTCAGAAAATGTATTTGTATTCATCTAGATTCAAACATAGATAAATTTCATCTGTTAGTGTAAGTATTTATCTTTTTTTAAAAGTAAGATCTGGTAGCAGAATGATTGGCTTTTAGAAGAGAAGAGAGAGAGAGAAATAGGATTTAACGTTCACTCGACAAATCAAATACCCGGTTCTTTCGAAACCAACATATGTCTCAATTTTATTTCAATAATGGGGGGGGGGGGATGGACGAATGGTTAGCGCGCTGTATCATACGGTCTGTCATTGAGTCAACTGGCGTGGTTTCGAATCCCCGGTTGTACGTGACAAGTAGTAGGTTCGCCTGTCCAACCTCGTGGGTTTTCTCCAGGTCCTCTGGTTTCCTCCCACTGCTAAAGACCCCTACGCAAGCAAATTATTGAAATAAATAAAAAATTAAACCATATGTTAGTCCTGAGTGGACGTTAAACCCCATTTCTCTCTCTCTCTCTCTTATTTCAATAAGTTGTTTTTGCGTAGGGATCTTTAGCAGTCAGAGGAAACCAGACGATCCAGAGAAAACACACGTCAAGTACAAGTGGGTATTGGAATCCATATCCATGTCATTTGACTCAAATACAGACCTTATGATCTAAAGCACGCACGTTAAGCCATTCAGTCAGTCACCCCCCCCCCCCCTTTTCGAAAAGTAAAGTGGTTTCGACCTTGTCAGTGATGCAGGATGGAGGGACTAACAAGGACCGCTGTCTAGTCGTTCGAATGGGACGAAAAATCAAGGTCCTGTGTACACATTGGCGTGCACATAATAGATCCGTTGACAGTTGGAATTCAATATAAGAGTAGGCCGTAGCGCCGCTGCCTGGGCAAAGTTCCCTCATAGCACACTGTAAGGCATATGCCCGTCTTCATTAGCCCAGTTTAGGAGCAGAACAGTAGATCTTACATTTTGGAAAAGTAAAATATGATGATACACAAGTCCTCTCCTTAGTAAGATATGTTACAAATCTAACCTATTAATATTTAAACTTTCCAGGTATATTACTCAAAAGTTGTTTGTTTTTGCAAAGGGAAAATGTGCGGAAGAAAGTCCAGATAATCCAATGAACCAGGAGGTTTTATTAAGTGGACATTTATTACTTATCTTCTTAAAGGTAATTAACTACATGATAATTATAACATGCATTGCTCGTTTAATGTCGGGAGTCAGGTCGGCTCGCTAACCCGGAGGTCATATGTTCAATCCCTGCATTGGCCGTGAAAGTTCATCGGGATTTTCCGGCGTGATTCTCCCTTGTCAGTGGTGCCAGGACAGAGGGTCTGGTAAGGGGTAATGTATAAACTGAGGTCCCGTGTACACATTGGTGTGTATATAAAAGATCCCTTAGCAGTGGGAATTCCATATAAGAGTAGGTTGGAGTGAAGCTGTCCACAAAATTTACCCGAATAGCAGACTATATGGTGTATGCCCGTCTTCATTAGCCCATTGGGAGCAGAACAGTTGGGAGGTTAAACGCCATTTCATTTCGTTGAAATTAACTAATTGTAATTTTGGGAATTTTGAAAATATGTATCCCTTGAAGACTAGAATATTGTGAAAGTCGTAATCTTTAAATAGCATTTAGCTATTGAATAAAATATAACACAACACAGTTCTATGGATAATAATCACTATATTGTATACACACGATGTTTCCACAAAATATCACTGGTTTTTATCAAGCATACAAATTTAGAAAAGAGGACAAATGTGAAAGCGTTATATATATGTATTGTGTTCTGCTGTTTTCTGAAAGTTCAATCGCTAAAAGAGGCATGTTAGTACTGAATTAATTAACCAACATAATGTTAGAGTTTCTCTTATTCTTGATGAGGGATCAGGAGGCCAGATTTTACCCTGGAGAAACTTTCAGGGATGTCTGAGTAACCATATCAATTTGTCCCTTACCCTCCTCCCACCTTGGTATTGAACTCCTGAAAAAGTAACCATAGGATTTTGTACCCCAACCCTTCTAACATCTATGAACTGTGTATTGAAAAAAAAGGGTGATTCAATCAAACATGGGCTTCTAATGTATTCAGTTTCATGATGAGATGTGAATTACAATATGTAATTTACTTATTAAATGATCCCATCTTCAATAGTCCAGTCGATGCAGAAAAGTAGCATGTTAAAAATTAGTTTCATTTCATTTATTAAATGGATATATTATTTGTTTAAAGGAGAGATTAGAAAGTTGGTTAATAGCAGCTAAAATAAATATAGATAAAATGGCTAGACATCAGGGTATGGCGTTTACACTTGATTTCAGTAAGTATATCTACAAATATTGTAACCAACTATTTAAACATACATTATGTAAAGACCAAGCAATACAATGCCACAGCCAACGTGCCCATATCAGTATTATGAGCACCCCATAAAGCCGAGTGAAGATTTAGATAAAGAGCTGGCAGTTCTCGCTATAATAGTTAAAGTCTAGATAATGAAAAGGGAGTATCTTGAAAATATCAGTCAAATTACTTCATTCTGCGCGACGACGTTGGGGCTGTTTGTAGATTGTCACAAGTTCAACATGTGATCCTTTATTAATTTATCGCCTGTCCACCCTCGTGGGTTTTCTCCGGGTCCTCTGGTTTACTCCCACTGCTAAAGACCGCTACACTCAAGCAAATTATTGAAATAAAATAGAACCAACCATATCAGGGATGTCACTAACTTTTCAAGTAACCGGAAATTTTGCTAAAGTCAGGGGCAGCAAATGTTTAGGGCCCCAGGCCTGAATCTGCGGGCAAACCGAAGGGTGGGGAGTGTGTTATGGCGTTAGGTGCGTTTCGGGTCAATATTTTAAATGACAGAAAGTTTTTTTTAAAACATTTTGTGAAAATATAAATAAAAAATCTATCCAAAAAACTTTAATAATCCAAATAAGTGCTTTTCAGTCATATCTGAGTAAAGTCTTAAGATAAGCCTTATTATAGAATTGCATGTCTACCAATTTTAAAACTGAAATCCGTGAATATTAGTTTAGGCTTTGCTAAAACTTATAAAATCGTAACAACTTGAAAAATATATAAAATATTTTTAATCTTCATGATACCAGATAAAAGGCAGGCTGCATTTATTCGGAATTAGCAAATTTCAGTCTGCAAAACCGATAAATCCCGTTTTCTAATTATGGGTGTAATCGCGTGAATGGAAATCCCTGGAAACGTGACATCAGAGTTTTATTTTCCCGCAAGGGCCTCCCACATAAACAGTATAGCACTTATATTTCTATAACTTTTGAGACCGACTATTTTTGTATCTTGAGATCGATATTAAAGCATTATAATACAACCGCTAGTAATATATTTAAACGAAAAAGTAATCTAAAATCGCAGATTGAAAGGCCGCTAAATTTCAGTCAATCACTCAATGCCAATGGCTTCCGATTTCACGCTCAAGTCACGTAGCATGAAACGTTTTCTTTCTGTTCACGGGAGAACTGTCAAAATCGTATAGACGTTTACTACTAGCCATGAGGAAAAATGACAGTAAGGGAACGGACCTTGTACAGTCAGTACAGGTCTTTATTTTATTAGGTACGCTCATGAACTCTGCTATTACTCCTCCTTGATTACAATATACTTTTATTAACCCACAAGCATACTACTGGAATAAGAAGTTTCCGGTCAAATTCAGCCAATCATGAGGTCAATTTATACAACGGAAGTAAGGGGGTTACCTCCCTTTTTGAAAGTAAAACTAGCATTGGCATAATTATGAACATTTACCGTGAGAAATAGCCTTCTGTGCCGGAGATTGGGAGAAAGGTCGTAATTCTTTGAGTATCAACGAAAAAACTGGTTAGTTGATACGTCTGTGTGCTTTGCGTTTAGGAATTAAATTAGTTTCAATTAATATAATGCCAAATTATTTTATTAAAATTAAATTGCTGATCTTCTTTAGCTGAAAAGTAGCCGGAAATTGGCCTAATGTAAACGGCGAAATTTGCCGGTTGCCGGCTTCTAATGACATCCATGAACCATATGTTAGTCCCGAAATGACCTGGTTTGTATCAAGTAGATGTTAAAACCCCATCTCTCTCTCTCTCTCTCTCTCTCTCTCTCCTTTAGGGGATCACATGGTTAAGTGGGTAGGACGCTGGCTCGCTAGCCTGGAGGTCGGGTGTTCGATCCCTGCATTGGCCGAGAAAGTTCATCCAGATTTTCCGGCGTGGTTTCCCCTTGTCAGTGATGCAGGACGGAGGGCCTGACAAGGACAGCTGTCTAGTCATTCAGATGGGACGAAAAACCGAGGTCCCGTGTACAAATTGGCGTGCACATTAAAGATCCCTTGGCAGTTGGAATTCGATATAAGAGTAGGCTGTAGCGCCGCTGCCCGTGCAAAATTTCCCTTATAGCACACTGCATGACATATGCTCGTCTTCATTAGCCCAGTTTAGGAGCAAAACAGTAGGACGTTAAACCCCATTTCATTTTATTTCACCTCTCTCCTTTATTAATTTAGTGGCTGTTGCTACAAGTTATTTGTATTTTTTTTTAATATTTTAGGGAAATTTTTAACAGCTATAAATAGAGTGAGTGATATTACAAATTCCATGAATTATTTCCTGGCTACAGGTAATCTACGATCAGCGTCTGGTTTAAATCTCATGCAGGTAAAACTATCAATTAATTTCTACTTGTGTCCATTAGTTTGTGTCGCGTGGATGTTAAACCCCATTTTTTGATTTTTTCTACTTTGGTAGCAATGTCTTTCATTACTGTGAAACGTTTGTTTAAAGTTCACCTGAAAAGGTTGAAATTTTTTTAAATATTGCAAGTAATTATGTCAACATATCCTTTCCATAAGTATAACACGATCCCGAATGTCAATATTACCTGCAATAGGTAAATTTCAACGTTAGTAATTTCCGCCATTCTCCATGGGTAGTAGGAACTTTTCGTCAATAAACAATCTGTGACGTCATTTTAGTCCTTCTCCTCATACTCTAATCTATGTTTCGATGAGCAAAAGGGCTAAAATGACGTCACAAATTGTTTATTGGCGAAAAGTTCCGGTGTTGGCCAAGAAAAAGCTTTAGATTTTTCCAGCGTGGTTTCCCCATGTCAGTGGTGCAGGATGGAGGCCCTGACAAGGATAGCTGTCTAGTTGTTTGGATGGGACGTAAAAGAACCCTTGGCAGTTGGAATTCAATATAAGAGTAGGCTGTAGCGCTGCTATCTGGGAAAAATTTACCTTATAGCACACTGTATGGCTTTGAACTGCCTTCATTAGCCTTGTCAAAGCAGAATCGTAGTAAACCCCATTTCATTTCATTTCTCTCACTGCTAAAGATCCCTGAAATATCGATATACCATACTTCAGTCCTAAAATGATCTAGTGGACATTAAATCCCACCTCATTTTTTCTTGTAGCAAGCTGGTTTAAGTGTTGTTGCCGACAAACTGAATTCTTTCAGATATATTTCACATTTCCGCTGTGTTCATCGTGGTGCTTTCTTCACGGAAATGAGAACCACTACAGTGCGAAAACTTCGACCTGAAGCATGGGGTAAGCATTGCTTTGCATGGAATGCTGCAAGAACCATATATTCTAGTACCAAGCAATTACACGAATCGTTATGATAGGCTGTCAAAGAAATGCCAACTTCCAGTTGTTGGGTGGAGATACAGACAAGCTCCTTGAAAAACAATCACCACATACCTGGATAAATCTGTCTATAACTCAGACATGTGTGTAATGACAACTTTGTGCTATACTTTCGGGGTGGGGGTGGCGCGGGTTTGCAGGTTATTTCTGCATTTTAATTACCACCTTGTGAAGTTTACAAATGGCATCTCAATAGCTACTTCTCTTAAAAAGTTATGTATCTTTAACCACTATAAACTATTTTGGCAATTGTTTTCAAACGGCTTAATATTTTTAGCTGAAACTGTTAGACAAAGGATATAGATTATGACTGTACAGTTTGCTGTTTGCTTTGCCTATATAGTTAAAGAACAAATATTTTTATCCAAGACCCACTAAAAACTGGGACTTGTTTGAAAGGTGATAAATAGATTTCTCATAAAAAATATATTAATAGTTTTAGAAATATATATCTAAAATTTCATTTTAGCTTTCAAAATTAAGAATATATCTATTTTGAATTTTCTAGGTTTTTTGTGCCCAGTACATACACCTGATGGTACACCATGTGGTTTGATGAATCATCTTGCAGCCCAGTGTTCAGTAGGTTCCTTTAAAACATTTCAATCTACAGCAGTGTCTTCATTGTTGAGAATTTGTGTGATTTATTCAAAAACACAGCACCACGCTATAGAGATACAGAGCTAATCATGTGAAGGAGGACTAGCTAGATTGGTGGTTTAAAACACAGCACCAGAATCTAGAGCAGTAGTTCTCAACCCTTTTTAGGCAACGGCACACCTTGAACATATAAAAAAAAATAGCGACACACTAGCTGGCTAAATATATATGAAAAATATTTAAATTTTACAAAATAAAAACATGGCAAGTGATAGGCGGCATACAACCACAGAAACAGACTAGTCATAGAAACATAGAATGACTCAAACTAAATAAAACATGGCAAGTCATAGACGGCATACAATCACAGTTACAGACACAGACTAGTTACAGATACATAGAATGACTCAAACTAAATAAAGTTAAACACAACTATGAACGTATCAGTAGACACCAGTGAATACTCAATTGGGATCAAATGGCTTTTCGCATTTTCTTAGTGTGCCAGTGGTTGAGAATCACTGATCTAGAGCTAATGACTAGATTAAAGATCAAAAGTGGATTGGGATGTATTACCATATTTCAAAACGATTATAATAATGCCAGCTGTAGAATTTTTAATAGAAAGGGTTTTTAGTTATCCTCCTATCACCGCCTTTTTAGACGAAATTAAAACCAATGAAAGCAAAACCAATCGACTTAAAACCTCAGTGAAATGGCTTTTTGACATAGAAACACAATGTCCCATGCCATGCATTATTCTGGAGGAAGACAGAAAACACATGGCAAATAACTGAAGTGTTAATTTATCAAACAATACAATTAAACCATATGTTAGTCCTATATGACCTAGTTTGTATCTAGTGGAAGTTAACTCTCTCTCTGTCTCTCTCTCTCTTTATAATAAGCGCAGGAGGACAGCAATACACACCAACAAAACCGCTTGGACAAACCTGCGGACAAGACACAAACCACGCACATTACTTGTTTTGAAATTATTTTTTTTTGTCCATTTCAGATAGTAAATTCTCCCTGTGATACAAGTAATATGACTAATTTGTTAGCTAAACTTGGAGTTATTGCCCTTGGATCATCATCGTTATTTTTATCTGGACCAGATTTCTATAGAGTGATATTCGATGGTAAAATGATGGGATATATACATGATGATAAGGTGGAAGATTTAACTAATACTCTTAGAATGTTAAAAGTTACACAACAAGAAAAGGTAAGTTTATAATCGAAAAATTAAATTAAACCCTGAGTGGACTTGAAGAAAGAGAAATTCCTGTAATACCAGGATTTCGAGAATGTGTAACACACAACCACTACCTGTCATTGTGTTCATGGGGCAATCCCAGACTATTAATAGAATTGGGTTTCAGTATGCAAATCAGATAATACTAATATGTGAGAAACAGATTATTCAGGTATCTGTGAGTTTCAAATTAACAGGGGGGTTGGGTGCACGAATGGTTAACGCGCGTGCGTTGTATCAGACAGTCATTGAGTCAAGTGATAAGGACAAGGGGTTGCCTGTCCAACCTCGTGGTTTTTTTTCCGGAAACCTCACACTGCTAAAGATCCCTACGCACAATTGAATTATGGAAATAAAATTAAACCATATGTTAGTCCCAGAATGACCTAGTTTGTGTTGAGTTTACGTTAAACTCTTTGATTCCCTAAAATATGTCTAATGGTTTAGCTTGTGAATGACAAGGATTAGGGTCACCTGTCCAACTACATATTTGGTAAGGTCGTTCAAATATTGAAAAACTGTGGAAAGTTCAACATTGGGCAAAATTTGGTCTAACATGTTCACTTTAATTAGATTATAATAAAATCTATCATCATTTCAAGTGATCAATCCAATTTCTATGTCTCACTCTCCACTTGAACAAAATTCTTTTCTACAATTGTCCAAAAATAACACAAATCCCTATTTTGTTATAATTTTAGGTTCCATCTGTGTTAGAGATTTGCTTTGTACCAAAATCCAAATATGCTAGTCAGTTTCCTGGTTTATATTTATTTTCTACCCTTGCTAGAATGATTCGTCCAGTAATAAACTTAGCTCACGACAAGCCAGAGATGATCGGAACATTTGAACAGGTTTATTTAAACATCTGTGTCACTTCAGAAGAAGCACATGAAGGGGTAAGCAGAAACATGGAGAGTTGTTTAATTACATAGGCATGTATTTGCGTGCATTTTCACCGGCAAAAAAAGACAACGTTCTAATGCATATGTGATGGGAATGTTCTAATGCAAATGTAATGGGAACGTTTCCATGTATTCTGCCAAAAGGCATATGAAAATGCATACATGAAGAATAGGATTGAGTCTGTTCCATAATCCCGTTCAGATATCCTGTTTAAACAAAAAGTAAAAAAATTTTCATTTTATATTCTTATGACCGTATGTAAATTTTTGATATAAAAATATAATCTTGTTCTAACAAACTGTTAATGGGCCAATCCGGATAATATTTTGGAGAAAAAAACTGCTTAATTTTGTGTTAAAATACCTTAAAATCCTCTACCTTCGGGCCGAACAACTAAATCAGTATATGTGATAGTGTTTTCAAAGAGCTTAAACCCGCCAGTCTTCATCTGGAAATAGAGACCGGTGTCCCAAGCTGTATTATGCGGTGTCTGGATAAAAGCAGATTTTTATTTTATAAAAATAATTTGTAGGTGACATTTACCTTTCGTTATCAAGTACAGCACATGGGTCATTTACTGTATAGACATCTCAAGGAATGGGAATCGATTGTCAGGTCACCCAACGAAAAAATTGACCCGAGATCTTAAAAAGTGTTATGTGTTCGTATAAGCAGTTTTGGTGTTTACGTCCAAACGACTCAATATTTCGAGCTGAAATTTTGAGACAAAGTAAATACACCATTCCTCTATATTTTAGCGCTTAAATTTTATACATACTTAGAATTTTATTTTTGAGACTCGGTTCAAATCGGGATAGTCCCTTTAAGATAATTTTATATAAGTGTTATGTCTAATTGGAGATTCAATTTACTAATAAGAACAAATGATTTAATATTTTTTGGTGTTTAAAAAGATATTATAAAGTAGAAAAAAACGCAATTAGTGTGCTAGATAATTCTTCAAAATGAATTTAAGAAATATTTTAAATGAGACTTTATTTTCTATTTTAGATGACAACCCATGAAGAGATATGTGAACACAGTATGTTAAGTGTGATTGCCTCCCTTACACCATATTCTGATTTTAACCAAAGTCCTCGAAACATGTATCAGTGTCAGGTATACAGCTTTAATTTACTTAATATATTCTCTGATGCATTCAAGTGATAAGGCTGACAAGGAAAATGGGCTGCGGTAGTCGTGGGGTAGGGCTGACAAGGATATTGGGCACTATTTAATCTTATGTTATGTTGTAAAAGTTATACAGTAATAAACCATAGTCCACTATACTGATTTAGTTATAGAATGCACTGCAAAGTTTTGAATGGTATATTGTTGGTTCATTGACATAATTGTATTTTTGTATTTTTAAGATGGGAAAACAGACACTAGGAACACCATTACATTCCTACAGATATCGTGCTGATAATAAATTATATCGACTACAGACACCCCAATCACCAATAGTGCGACCAGTAGCTTATGATGATTATAATATGGATGAATATCCTATAGGAACTAATGCTGTGGTAGCTGTTATATCCTACACGGTTAGTAAAACATACACCCTCTTTAGTACCACAGGGTTTTCCCCGGGTTCTCCGGTTTCCTCCCATTGCTGAAGACACCTATGTGCAAATGAATTATTGACATAAAATTAAACCATGTTAGTATGTACATCCTCTTTAGTACCGCTGGGTTTTCCCAGGGTCCTCCGGTTTCCTTCCATTGCTAAAGACACCTATGCGCATGTGAATTATTGACATTAAATTGAACCATGTTAGTCCCAAAATACCCTAATTTGTGCTGGATTTAGATGAAGAGAGAGTCTCTCTGAGAGACCCTAGTCTATTCCACTTGTGAAGTCCCTCCCATCCTGAACATTCATGACTAGAGGAAAATGAAAGTGTGATTTAAATAAAACTGAGCAAAGCCGAGAACTATGACAGATGTTTAAGACTATAGTGTGTGTATATGACAGTGTCCAAACGATTATACAACTTGACCAAAGGCCTCCTTCATCTCGAGGCCCCAGGCTTTATCTTGCCAAGCGTATTGGTAAATGCAGCACTGATCTGCTTGAGTAACTTTTACTTGCCCCCTTTCATTCTCTTCAATGTTAACATTTGTCACATAATTTTATATCAGATTGTTTTCTAATCATTCATCATCTCATTTTTTCAGGGCTACGACATGGAAGATGCTATGGTCATTAACAAAGGTTCTTTTGAAAGAGGTTTTGGACACGGCACTGTCTATAAAACTGAGGTATTGATATTGTTTTTTAGAAATGAAATGGAGTTTAATGTCATATTTTACTGTACCAAGGAGGCTAATGACTACAGACATATGACATGCAGTGTGCTATGAGGAAAATTTCGACTGGCTGGAAACTTTTTAGCCAATGTGGGGATGAAACACAGGACCTCCTGGTTAGTGAGCAAATGCCATACTCACAGAAGATGTTGTTAATTAACTTTTAAAGTAAAATCATTGTAAAATTGAACACTGAAGAATTTATTAATATTTGAAAAGGTATTGGAGCATTCCAAAGACCAAATGGCATATTGAATATATGCCTTTCTTTCGTTGTTCATTTCTAGTTGGTCTTATTTTTCAGATTGTAGATTTACAGACTATTTGTCAGGAATCTGGACAAAGCATATCTCTTATTTTTGGTAGGTAAATCACTTCTGAATTTTTTTCCCCAACTAAATGTAATGACAAACTAATCGAGTTCCAGAAATTTGGTCTGTTACTTCAATTATATGCATGGTTATAGGTATAATTATCTAAGTACAGTTAACAATGAATGAGGGATAGTAGTATACAGTATGCTAAATGTAGGTTTTGGGGTAAAGTTTTATACCTACATTTTATTTTTTTCTGTATGAATGTAATTTTTTGTACTCCCAAAAAGAACCTAATTATAATGTTAAACATCTTTTATTTGTAGGCAACAAAGATATAGAAAATAATGGTTTGGATATTGATGGACTACCAAATGTTGGTAGATTTTTGAAAAAAGGTGCTGCTTATTACAGGTAAATTGCTGGTAATATTGATCTCTCTCTCTCCCTCTCTCTCTCTCTCTCTCTCTCTCTCTCTCAAAATAGTAAAAAGTTAAGACTTATGAATGAAATGTTATCTTTTTTTTATAGTTATATAAACTTACAGACTGGTGAAAGTAAAGTTGTTATTTATAAGAATGATGAATCAGCTTATGTTGAACAGATTAAACTGCTAGGGGATGACAATGGTAATACTGAATTACAGAGGGTAGCAATTGTACTCCGTATACCGGTATGTACCAATTATTTTTCACCAAATGCTTGAACTTTACCAAACAGATGATCCCAATATTTTGGGGGGTAGTTTTGTACTAAAAGTCTTATGTAAAAATAAATATTATAAAATTCTCCCAGATTAATTGAAAGTCAATTTATAAATCATTGAGGGTGAGTTTGTTATGGGTAGATGGTCATCTTGAGTTACTGTTTAATACCGACTTTTTGTTCTAATGTTGTTCCTTATTTTTTAACAGAGAAATCCAGTCATAGGAGATAAATTTTCTAGTAGACATGGTCAGAAAGGTATTTGTAGGTAAGTCATATTCTAAGATTTCCATTCTGATCGACTTATTTGAGACAAATATTGGTACGGGTGTTATTCTTTTGATGTTTTTATATAGCACAACTTTCAAAAATTTGTTTTGTTGATATTAACAGTATGATGTGGCCGGTAGAAGATATGCCATTTACAGAAACGGGGATGGCTCCAGATATTATCTTTAATCCTCATGGTTTCCCATCTAGAATGACAATAGGTAAGTTTGTATATTCTTTGAATGGAAGAGGGAGGGAAATTGGGTTTAACGTCCACTCAACACAAACTAGGTCATTTTGGGAGAAAACCAACGATGTTGGACAGACGATCCTACTCCTTGTCACATACAAGTATGGAATCGAAACCACGCCACTAGACTCAATGGCAGACCTTATGGTGCAACATGCACGCTTTAACCATTCGGTCACCCCCTCCCCCTTTCTTTGAATGGCATTTAGTAATTGGAACATAATCAAATAAATCGCTATTTATGGATAACATGTGTTGATATGCTTGATAACAACTTGTGAAATAAACCATAGTAATTGTTATCGATAAATAGTGTTTTATTTGAATAGGTTTGCTTCGATGTCAGTTTGGTATTACAGAATTGATACCAAAGATTCCGCTGATATATTTAGGGTCTGCAAGATTACCTGGAAGTTCCGTGGTGTTTGGGTGGAACAAATAAATGAAAATATATCTTGATAGTAGATACATGACGAAAATATGTCGGGGTCTGTAGTACTAGTACAAGGATGGTCTAGATTCTAAAGTACCTTTGTGTTTGGATGGGACAAACAAATGAAAAATATCTTGACAGTTGATACATGAAAGAAATACATGGAATTTAATCAATTCTGTTACACAAATAATTAATTGACATATTTTAAATGAAACAAGTTCAAATGAATCTGCGGTAATAATAGTAATGTAAACATTTGTATAGCTCTATTCCACACTGTCTGTGTGCTCATAGCGTATGAAAGGAGTTGAATTCTCTACAATTCAAGCAGTATTTAAAAAACAATACCAATACGTTGTAACAGATAAGAGAGAGAAAAATGGGGTTAACATCCACTCAACCAAAACTAGGTCATTTCGGGACTAACACATGGTTCAATTTTATTTCAACAATTCGCTTGTGCGTAGGGGTCTTTAGCAGTGGGAGGAAACAAGAAGACCCGGAGAAAACCCATGAGGTTGTACAGGCGACCCGAAACCAAACCAGTTGACAGACCTTATGATACAGCGCGCACATGCTAACCATTCCGCCATCCAGCCCCCCTGTAACAGATAAGTCTGCTGTGACGATTTGAAAGTTGATAAGGATGAAGACTGTAAGTAATTTATCAGAAACGTTTTGTTATTTACACCTATAGGTATGATGATAGAAAGTATGGCAGGAAAATCTGGAGCATCACATGGTTTATGTCACGATGCCACGCCCTTCACATTCTCTGAGGATAAACCTGCAATAGATCATTTTGGTCAGATGTTAACAGAAGGTAATTAGGCCAAACCTGTTTAATTTTCTGTTTTTCTTGGGTCTTGGTAAATAAAATGCCACTTGAATCACAAAAAAAGATGTTTTGATTAAAATTTCAATACTTAAAAATTTGGAACTAAAAGATTTTGAACAGTGCAACCAAGTACTTCTGGTTTTTACATTAGTCTTTTTACTGGAGAGACAAACAATTTTAACATGTGTTCCTGAAGAATAGAAAATAAAATTTGTGTGGCTTTATTTTCATCATTTACATACCAGGGTTCTTAATCCATATTGAAACGAACCGGCCAGAATTGGGTCAATTAAGGTCCCCGTAGAAAATGGGTTAATTATAAGCTTCCATTCCCTTTAATATAACTAGACTTCAACAAAAATAATTCTTGGAAATTTCTTAAATTCACTATCTCATTATCAGATGCTGATATTTAAGAATAACACAATTTTAAGAATGGTACATGTAGCTTGCTATAGATGCTGATTTTAAGAATGTCAGATCACCATCTTAATGAGATACTGAATTTAAGAATCGCAGTGATGATCATTATAATAGCAGCTCTGACTAGTAACTAGATTTTAAGCATAGTTACCATATTCCGATTTTACAAATGGCCACTCAAAACTAGACCTAATCAGATACTAATGGGTAAGACGCTGGCCTGGAGGTCGGGTGTTAGATCCCTGCATTGGCCGAGAAAGTTCATTCAGATTTTCCGGTGTGGTTCCCCCTTGTCAGTGATGCAGGACGGAGGGCCTGACAAGTCCAGCTGTCTAGTCGTTCTGACGGGACGAAAAACCAAGGTCCCGTGTACACATTGATTGGCGTGCACGTAAAAGACCCCTTGATAGTTGGAATTCGATATAAGAGTAGGCTGTAGTGCTGCTGTCCGGGCAAAATTTCCCTCATAGCACACTGTATGGCGTATGCCCGTCTTCATTAGCCCAGTTCGGAGCAGAATAGTAGGACGTTAAAATTTCATTTCATTTAAGAATGTAACATATTTTTTCTCAATATTTTTTAGCTGGATATAATTATTATGGTACAGAGTGTCTATATTCTGGTATTGATGGTAGAGAATTAGAAGTGGAAATATTTATTGGTATTGTTTATTATCAGCGACTCCGTCACATGGTGTCCGATAAATTCCAGGTAGAGTTTGGGTAACAAAATTAGAAACTTGCAGATTCGATTGCAATTATTTAATTTTGTTATATGGTAATATGAATGGGGGCCTGCTGTATATATATGATTCACTATATTTTAATGTGCTAAAGAAGATGGGCATGCACCATACAGTCTGCTATGAGGGCAATTTTGCCTGAACTGCTGCACTACGGCCTACTCTTGTGTTGAATCTCAACTGCCAGGGGATCTTTTACATGCATGCACATGTGTACACAGGACCTCAGTTTTTTTTTATCCCATCCAAACAACTAGATAGCTGTCCTTGTCAGGTCCCCTCCCCCCGTTCTTCACCACTGACAAGGGCAAACCAATCCAGAAAATCCTGATGTCTTTCTCGGCCAACACTGGTAGCAAACTTTCGACCTCCAGGCTAGCAAGCCAGCGGGGGATCACGTGGCTAAGTGGGCAAGACGCTGGCTCGCTAGCCTGGAGGTCGGGTGTTCAATCCCTTCATTGGCCGAGATAGTTCATCCAGATTTTCCGGCGTGGTTCTCCCTTGTCAGTGATGCAGGACGGAGGGGCTGACAAGGAAAGCTGTCTAGTCGTTCGGATGGAACGAAAAACCGAGGTCCCGTGTACACATTGGCGTGCACGTAAAAGATCCCTTGGCAGTTGGAATTCAATATAAGAGTAGGCCGTAGTGCCGCTGTCCAGGCAAAATTTCCCTCATAGCACACTGTATGGCGTATGCTCGTCTTCATTAGCCCAGTTCGGAGCAAAATAGTAGGACGTTAAACCCCATTTCATTTCATTTAATTTCTAGCAAGCCAGCGTCTTACTCTTTTATCCACCATGGCTCCCGAAAATATTCAAGACATAAATGTTAGATCTCTTAATTCCTTCTGATATATTTCATTTTATCAAATACAAACTACTTTTTCTTAACTGAAACATCTACTCCAATGTTTAATCATGGTGTTGTTCGTTTCTATAGGTACGATCAACAGGTCCAGTGGATGTACTGACCCATCAACCTGTTAAAGGCCGTAAAAAAGCTGGAGGTGTCCGATTTGGAGAAATGGAAAGAGATGCATTGATAGCTCATGGAACTCCTTTTCTGCTTCATGATCGACTTTTTAACTGTTCAGACAAATCATATGTAAGTTACTAAAAGCAGCATTATTCATTTGGAAGATCAGCCAACTAAATTTTGTCTCATTGATACACGGGGTTGGATGGCTGGATGGTTAGCATGTGTGCACGCTGTATCATAAGGTCTGTCATTGATTCAATTGGCGTTGTTTCGATTCCCAGGTTGTACGTGACAAGGAGTAGGGTCCCTACATGCAAGTGAATTATTGAAATAAAATTGAACCATATGTTAGTCCCGAAATGATCGAATGGATGTTAAACCCCATTTCTCTCTCTATCTCTCATTGGTACATTTGATTTTGTTTCTTGACTCACAGATTGTACTAGTATTATTGTGTATTTGCCGAGGAAAGTTTGTCAGGAATTTCGGGCGTAGTTTCTCCTTGTCAGTGTTCCAGGACGGAGGGCTTGTCAAGGAACAGTGTGGATGGAACAAAAAAAAAACCAGGCTGTAGCACCGCTGTCTGGGCAAAATTTCCCTCATAGTATGCAGCATGCCCATTTTCATGATTTTGGTGGTACTGAACAGTAGGGAGTTAAACCCCCATTTCATTTTATTGTGGAGCCAAGGTGGCTAATAAGTGGGTAAGACGCTGGCTCGCTAGCCTGGAGGTCGCGTGTTCAATCCCTGCATTGGCCGAGAAAGTTCATCAGGATTTTCTGAGGTGGTTTCCCCTTGTCAGTGGTGCAGGACGGAGGGCCTGACAAGGACAGTTGTCTAGTCGTTTAGATGAACAAAAAACTGATGTCCCGTGTATACATTGGAGTGCACATAAAAGATCCCTTGGCCGTTGGAAATCGATATAAAAGTAGGCCATAGTGCCGCTGCCCAGGCAAAATTTCCCTCATAGCACCTTGCCTGGCGTATGCCAGTCTTTATTAGCCCCGTCGGAGCAGAACAGTAGGATGTTAAACCCTATTTCATTTCATTTCAGTTTATTTCAAATTAAACCTGGATATTTCTATTTATTATATCTGGGACTTTTTTATTTTTTTAGGCAAGAATGTGCACAGACTGTCACAGTCTACTGTCTCCTGTTTTAGAAAAACCGAAACAAGTTTATGGAACTGTTTATAATAATCAAAATAAATGGACGTGTTCTCTTTGTAAAAAAACAGAAAGTATTCAAGTTATTGCCGTACCCTATGTCTTTCAAGTTTTAGTAGCTGAGATGGCTTCTATGGGACTCAAAGTGGTTTTAGATGTTAAATGATCTTCAGTGTATATAGGATTACTTTAATTTAGTGCTTCAATGTGAAATGACCTCTCTGAGCTGTTTGGTATTTTTCGAGGAATCCATGGTGAATTAAAATATCATGGATAGATACAGAAACTCTTTATGGAAACAGAAATAATAATTTAGTAAATATAGCAAATATGTACTAAAGCCATATCATTTGTTTTCTTTGGGAACATCTATTAAAAAATTTGCTACAGTGTTTTGTGTAGAAAGGATTACTTTAATTTAGTTGTGTAATGTGAAATGATTTCTGAGTATTTTCCGACAAATGCATGGTGATTTAAAATTGCATAGATTACTACAAAAAATTGTTACAGAAACAGAAATCATAATTTATTAAATCATAACAAAAATAATCTAAGGACATATCATATTTGTTCATTGCAAATATTTATTGGATTAATTGCTTCACGATTTCTTTAGGGGCAAAAAAAGCTTTAAAATTTTACGCAAAACATCATTCACCAGACTCCAGTGGCTATTTATGAATACACTAATAATAAACCTAACCACATGAATATTTCGGCAGTTAGAATTCGATATAAGATCAGACTGTAGCGCCGCTGTCCGGGCAAAATTTACCTCATAGCATACTGTATAGCGTATGTCCATCTTCATTAGTCCAGTCGGAACAGAACAGTAGGACGTTAAACCCAATTTCATTTTATATTCATTTCACTGCAACAACAGAACTAGTAATTGTCTACAGGAAACCCTCAAATCACTCAAACAATCACCTTTTATCAGTTCGGGGGACTTGAACAATCTGGTCGCATTGATGATGTCACTAACACATTATTAAGTAAAGGAGCTGATAAATATTGAACAGTTGCTCCTAGAAATTTTCAAAAACTTGATTCAGGTAAATTGTTTCCATGGCATTTAGTAATTGGAATATACAGATCACAATTCTATGAGCTTGATAAAGTCCAGTCGAAAGTCATTCAGTAATAAGCAGTAGTTGTATTCCATAGAATATATTGATTCAAGTAGCAGTCATAATAATCTATTTGTGGACCGTTTCCTTGAATAAATTTATTTGTAATTAGTAACATTATAATTTGAATAAATATAGAAATTTTCTCGATTCATTTATGTTTATGTAAATAAAAGATAAAATAACTACTATCCATTTGGTCTCTATTTCTGCTGTTTATGCAAACAAGTCAAATGTAAATTGATATTAAAATAATTATTGGAGCATACCTAAATCACATGCACTTGAAGGGATTAAAATAAAATTTCTTACTACTGCTTGACTATATATTACTATAGTCAAGCAGTAGTAAGAAATTTTATTTTAATCCCTTCAAGTGCCTGTGACCTAAATATAACATTACTAATTCTAATGATACAAGTAGATGTTATGATGTATAAGAGTTCTAATATTTTTTACCAGAAATTGGAACCCTATGTCTCGTACTTTAGGTGGTTTAGTGGTCTTATCCCAATTCAGTAGACCATTAGGTCTGTCATCTATTCAAAGGCCTGGTGTTGTATTCGGATCCTTGGATCCAGGGGTGTTACACATTTATATGTGGGTGAAAATAAAAATCAACCATTCTCCATGTTAGAATTCCAATCTCTATCTTTATTACTTTAAAAGGCAGAAGAACTACAACATAAGGGAGACAACTTGTGTCTGCTTAAACATAAGGTTTCAGACCACAATGATATAGAATATACCACAATATGACATCCCCCCCGCGTTAAAACAAAATTCCATAGGAATTTTTGAAAAGAAGAGATATAAATGGAAAAACATTCACACACTATCACACAAAAATAAGAAAAGCTTAAATATACATGAGAATAAAAATGAGGGATGATACGATATGATACCAAAAATGAGAAAGTAGTAAAACAAGAACAATATTGAATGTTAATTAAAACAAAACAAATTATGAAAATTACATGTCATCTATAATATACATAGAAATCCTACGATAACTCCATTTTGAAATGTTCTCTATAAAACAAACTTGATTGAGAAGTATTGCTCCAACCTAATACTATATTATCTCTTTAACATACAAGTGTATATCAAATTATCCAACTATCAGATACATATAAACAATAATGATCTAATTTTAACTATGAAGAGTCTCATCATAATATAGGAGTGTATGATAAATAGCAAAAATAGGTTTACCTTCAATACAAGCTTAAACACATTGTGTAAGGAACAATTCTAAAAATATTTACTTTGATATTTACGGAGATTACCAGTTACTTGAAGAGTATTTTCATTAATTAACTCATGAGCAATATTACAAAACTCAACATTATGATCTATATTAATCCATTCACAACTTTGTTGTTTTGGGCTAAATTTGACAAGCAATTGAAATTTACCAAATTTAAATCTTGCTCTTTTGATTTCAATAAAATTGTCATCATTCACAACTTCTGTTAAGTAGTTGAGTTGTTCTTCCATTTGAGGAGGTGATAACATAGATAAAGAGGCAATAGTTTGATTAGGTATACATCTATTAATATCAACAGAAGTAGTAAATCTATCATAAGTAATAAACTTATTATTAAATTCAGGTAAATTATAACCATTTTCATCTGTAAACTGATACTAACTATCCTTAGTATTCAATACAGGTGAATCATTGCTAGATACAGATTTACCTAATTGTTTACGTAATTGGTCAATATGTGTTAATCTCTTTACTGGCTCATTAGTTCTTATGAAACAAGGTTTAAGCCGATTAATGGAATAGACATCAGGCAAAACTCTACCATCTAATGTTGCTAAAATGTAATGTGTGCGATCCAAAATCTGGTGGACAATCAAAGGTCCGCACCATTCAGCTTTGATTTTCTTTGACTTAGAGGTTAAAGCTGATGAGGAAGGTTTCAGAACATAAACAAACTGTCCTAATCCATAAACTGGATTTGTACTTAGACTGTGTGAGATACTAACATTTTGACTTAATTGTTTGCGTTTTTGCAAATCTAAAATAGTAGAAGACATAGAATCAAACTTTTGTTTCAAATGTGACAAATAATCCGAATAGGATTTACAAAGACTCTTGTCAAAGTTCCAGTTGAGAGAAGTAAGATTTTTGGGTTCTTTTCCAAAAACGAGCTGATATGGGCTATGATTTCCAAGTTGTGGTGAAACAAATGAATTATATGCATAACAACTGGTAGAAACAAACCTGACCCAATCCGTACCAAATTGATTTAGATTGAATTTGAGAAGGTCAGATACAGATTTAATATGTCTCTCAACCAACAAGCTACCATGGTTTGCAACACTGATTAGTTTGTGATCTATTCCTAATGAAGAACAAAGAATAGATACCAATTTTCCTGTCAAAGAGGATGCTGCATCTGTAATTAATACAGAAGGAGGGCCAAAAATGCAAACGATCTTTTGGATGATAGCCTCACAAATAGTTTCCGCATCAAAAGACTTCAATGGAACACACAGTATAAATCTAGTTATTTCGTCGCATATCACCATTAAATGTTTGAATCCACTGGGTGAAGCTGGCATGGATTTAAAATCTAAGCAAAGTTTATCGAAAGTTCGAAATTCGGTAGGTATTCGTGGATGAAAAATACGAACATCGTCTGACTTTGGTTTAAACTGTTGGCATGGATGGCAGCTGCTAATATAATTAGCTATGGTGTGAAACATCTGTGGAAAATAAAAAAGTTTCCGCATGGTGAGGTAAGTTCTGGTAATACCTTGATGACTGGATAGAATATTATCATGGTAAATACTGATTAAATTAGAACACATCGATTCAGGAATTGCCAACTGGAGACTAAATGTTTCATCCTTATGAATAATAAGACGAAATAATACATTATCATAGAGAATATATTCGTCAGATTTATTCTTAACCGATTTGGCCGCTGCACGGTTGGAAGGAAGTATACCGTGAGATAAATAGTCATAAATGGGTTTAAAATATGGTGATGTCTCTTGTTGTATACGCAGTTGATTGCAATCAATAGGGAGATTGTAATCTCGTATCATTTTTCTCTTGATGATTGAAAGTAATTTATCCAACTCTCGCTGTTTCGGAAAATGAGATTTAACAACCTGTGCAGAATTATGAACAACTGGGCTAGGAGGCATGCACAATTCAATAGGTATTTCAACATTGGGTGTGTCTGAGTCAAGGATTCGGTCAACAAGTCGAGGTTCATTGGGAAAAGTAGAAGGTGGTGCATAAACAGAAGACAAGGGAGTAGACTCTTGCTGAGTTGATTGTTGAATAGTATGAGACTTGTTGCCAGACTTTGATGTAGAGACGGCTTGTCTATCATTGGATCTATCTTCAAAATCAATGGGAAAATTATGAAGAGATTGTTGATTTGCTGAAACTGGAGGATTGGTAAGCATAGATGAAGAAGATAACTTTTGTTTTGAGGAATTAAGATCCGGAATGGGTATGTTCTGTTGTTTTGCCCACTGACGAGTTATAGGTCTTTCTGTTAAAGTAAATGCTGTAGGAACTACTGAATCTATTTCTGAATCATCCTCAAGGGGATTACGAGACAAAAAATCTGCGAGAACTAGCTCCTTTCCCTTTTTGTAACCGATCTTGAAGGAAAAATGGGAGAGTTTTACTAAAAGTTTCTGAAGTCGATTTGTACAAGGTGCACGTTTTGAATCAAATAGATGAATGATGGCTGCATGATCTACGTATGCATCAAATTCTACTCCACGTAATAAATACTGGAAATTGGAAATATTTATGAGTAATCCGAATAACTCTAATTCAGTAACGGAATATCTTTCACAAGCTTTTGGTAAGCGTTTTGAGTAATATCCTAACAGTCGTTCTTGACCTTGAATGACTTGAGTAAGGTAAGATCCTGTTGCAAAGCGAGATGTATCGCTGTAAAGGGTTAAGCGTCCGGTGCCAGAAGGCATATATGGAACGGGTGGCTTTACTAACAAAGATTTTACTTTAGTGAAGGCTGTTTCTTGAGCTTCTGACCATTTGAAAACCGAACGTTTATTGGATATCTTATGTAGAGGTTGCAATATGGATTGCAAACTGGGCAAGAAGTTTGACAAATAATTGACAGCGCCCACAAAACGTCGTACATCTCTGGTTGACCTAGGCCTGGGAAGATTCTGAATGGCTTTACACCTATCTGACAAAGGCTGAATAGTCACTAGGCCTTCTGAACCAAGTTGTATTTTATGACCCATATATGTAACTTCCTGACGAAAAAATGCACATTTACGAGGACAAATTTTTAAACCATGTTGAATAAGGGCCTTAAAAAGAAGATTTAAATGTCGTGTATGAGAATCAGTATCATGACTAAAAACAATTATATCATCATGGTGTGCGATACAGAAATCGTAACTACTTGGAATAGTTGCTAAAACATTATCAACTGTTGATTGAAAAACCGCTGGAGATATACATAATCCTTGTGTTAGTCTCTTAAAATAGTAATGTTTTCCACCAGAGTATGAAGATATGCCTGTGTACTGTTGAGCTTTAGGCGATAAAGGAAGGGAAAAGAAGGCCGACTTAAGATCTAAACAACTAAGAACAGCAGGTGAAGCGTTACCAATTCTCTTCAGAGTGTCTGTCAACAGTGGAAACGGATGATTTAAGCGCTTAATCCGCGAATTTAAATATCTGAAATCTACAACGACTCGCTTTTCATTGGTTCCCTTCTTTGGAAGAATCAAGACAGGTGATGTGTAGGCTTGACTACCAACTGCAAGTATTCCTAACTTCACTAATTTCTGTAACTCTTGATCAACTATACGTTTTTCTTTTTCGGTTTTAGGGTAAGGCCTAATATAAAAAGGTTTGTCATCAGTGACGTCAATATCAACTTGGATATTGGGACATTTTCCGATTTCGCCATTCAAGCTGAATGCTTCTTTATGTTTAGTCAAAAGCTGGTAGAAATTGTCTTTCTGGTTGGCTGTAAGAAGACTTTTGGTAAGGTCAATTGTAGAGCGAAATACAGAGTCTGATGAATGACTGGTGTAATTAGACTCATATTCTGTAGATATATTAATAGAGTCACAAACGAAAATGTCATGTAGTGAAACATGGGATATAGGTCTAGATGATGGAATATGTAATGTCTTGGAAGTTGTATTACATATTGGAATCACAGCACTATT